CCCAAAACAACAACAACAAAACAAGTAAAACCCAAATAAAAGCAAACAAATAAATAAAATCTTAAAACAAACCAAAAACTAAAAAACAACCAAAAACCAAACTTAAAAGACCACCTTTCCTTGCTCTCGCCCAGGAGCAACTTGACTTCACTCCAGACTCCTGAACCTACTCAAGAAGCATGGGGGGATGAATTTTCTTTCTGATGTTTCTTTTTTCCTCTTCCCTTTGCTGGTATTTTTTATCCTCTGTGCATTATGTTTTCACAGATGCCACATACTCCTAATATCCCAAATGCACCACAGGGCACCCCCTTACCTCTTCCCACAGAGACCCTCTTGCGACACCCTCCTCTCCCCTCCATTACCAACACTAGGCCATCTATAGCCAATACGGTGTCCCTTGGGAATACTGGCTTGGCCCTGCTCCTGGAGGCACCATCAGCAAAGCAACAAGGACAGAGAAGTGCCCTGGGTCTTTGAGTCAATCACATTGGTCTTTTGTGAGAGTTGCTTTCTGCTTGTTGTTTATTTTGTGTGGGTGGCTGTTTTGCTTCAGAAAGGATACCAGGTGCCCTTGGGGGTGTCTCCTGATTCCCCTGGCTCAAACAAGAAAGGAAGTGCACAGGTAGTGAAAACGGGGAGAGGACAACTAGAAGAAAGTTTCCTCTGCAGGGAAAGAGCTAGGAAAGCCATTGCTGAGTTGGAGTTGAAACTAGCAAGGTGTTGGAAAGGCAAGAAGAGTTTCTAGAAGTACACTGACAGAAAAAGAAAGGCTAAGGAAAATGCAAATCCAAGGGTCAATGGGCAGCAGAGCTCAGGCCAAGGGCACAGAGAAGGCTTGGATGAGCTGCAATTGTGTTGCCTTCCATTCCAATGATAAGGTCACATTTAGGGCCCACAGTCCCTTAAGCCTACTGGAAAAGTATGTGGGAGTGAAGTAGCAGGTTAAGAAGACCCCAGAGAGAGCACTTCGACCAGCTGTGCATATGAGAGTTCATGAGACTGGATGAGATCTGCTTGGTGCTGTTACTTGAGGAGGGAGGTTGGACCAGATGACCCACTGCGGTCCTTTCCAACCCTACCCATTTTGTGATTCCGTGTTTCTATGAGTTCACTGTCTTTTGTCTTTGAAAGGCCATGGTGACCTCAGGAGGAGGAAAAAAGCAAACATTGCAGCCCCTCTTCAAGAATGGCTAGAAGGAGGAGCTGAGGAATTACAGTGTCTCCTCAGTATCTGGGAAGGCAAAGGAATAAATCCTTCTGGTAGCCATTTTGAGGTACTTGAAGGACAAGAAGGCAGTTGGGAACAGCTGGCATGACTACGAGAAGGGTAAATAAGGGTCTGTTCAATCTGGCTGACTTCTACTGTGAGATAATTGTCTGGATAGACATGGGAATGAAGTGGATGAGGCACAACTTAATTTGATCAAGACCTTCAGTACAGACTCCTTAGACCTGAATTTGGAGACCATGATAAGGGTAAGTGGATAATAATAACCATGATCAGGATTGCCATGCTCAAACAGCTCTGTGGTAAGAAATCCTGTTAGAAGCTACTTACTAGCGGTATTTCTCAGGGATCAGAACTGTGGCTACTGCAGTTTATTTTCTTTATCAACATGATGAGCCATGCAAGGGGATGACTAGGTAGAAAGCAGTTTTGCAGAGAAAACAGCCTTTGGGTTTCATCATCATTGTCACTTCCTAGGAGATCATACTGCATATTCCCAGAGGAGCACAGTGGTAAGATGTGACGCAGAACATGGCAAATTTGGATTAGACACTTTTTCACCTTTGGGATTTTCAAACTTGGAACAAGCTGCCCAGAGAATATGCCAAAACTTTACTGGACAAGACCTTTTCCAGTCGGCCTGCTTTGAGAAGAGGAAGGACCAGAGACTGCAGAGGTTTCTTCCAACCTAAATTATACTGTGTTTCTACACAGTTACACTGAATAAGCTGGGTTTTCAAATCTACAGTCAGGCTGGAGCTGATCTGCCAGGAGATGTATAGAGGAAATAGTAAAGCCACCTTCCTAGAAAGAGGAATTCTTTCTAGGAATGTGTGATATACACACTGACCTCTGAACTGATTGGACTAGAACTGAACATGTTGCAACTGTAAATGGTTGCAGAAGTTTTTCCACAGGATTGAAAACAAAGCTTAAGATGCAAATTTGGGATGCTTTTGTCTTCAGCGACCTGAAATGCCTCCTCATTTGTGATATGCCAATATAAATAACACATCAGAAATCTTAATGCATCAGAATGGGTGGAACACATACTAGGAGTCACAAATTCTAATATTTGAAAGAATATTATGCCTAAACAGCTGAGGTTGCATGACTCATGTCTCTGTTTGTGAAAGAATTTTCAGGCATAAAGTCTGTGCACCAAGATGGAGATATTTGTGATGGATTATTCTGGGGGGTAGACAGTGGTGGATTGGTTTAGTGGTTCATATTGGGGGATATTTTTGTTATTCTTTAGTCTCTGCAGAATGCTTCATGTTTTGCAAGGTGGCTTATCTGGGCATTATGTTTAGACAACAGTTTTTTCAGTGCTCTGCAGCTCATCAGTGATTCACAAGTCTCAGGAGACTGATGAAAGCAATTTACTTCCCACATAATGGTGTTGATATTTTGCCCATTTGGGCATGATGAGAAGACTTGTTTTCACCCTCTAAGTAGGTCATGAGAGACTTCTGGTAGAGTCTGCAAAGCTTCCTCCTGTATCCTACCGGAATAAATACCAGCCCCCAGGAACGTGGCAGTCCTTTGCACCCCTGCAGTATTGACCTCTCAGCCACAAAAGTGCCAAATAGATGTGGAAGGAAAAAGGATTACAGAAATTCCCCGTCTTTTAGCTATATGTAAAGAGTCATTCAGCCCTTAGCTTTGCTTTCTGGCTCACTCTCAGAGGGTCCTACTACAATGAGAAAAGTACTTGTTGGTGTTGATGTGAGGTTTGTGCACAATTATCTCTTTTTATAAAGGTGTAATTTTTGTACTTGGAAAACCAGGCAGCTTCAACAGGCAAAGTCTTTTCTTTGCACTTGCATTTGGGAAGAGTCTTAAAGCTATAATTTCATCTATACCTCTTCAAAAGCAGGTGACCGACTAAGATTTGATAATATTATAGACTTAACAAAATTTAAGGTTTCCAACAGAGCTTGTTCAAGCAGCAAACTAAAAGCATTTTTAGGGCAGTATGATTGGATTTTTAGAGTGGGCACATATGTGCATAAACTGCCTTTAAGCTACATGCTGATGTTCTTTTATTAATAAATAAATCTAGAGCTTTTCTGTTTGCTCTACTGTTTTCATGCTGAAATAATAAACTGAAGAAGTATGCAAAAAAGAGTGACTGGACTGTAGATATAAGATACTGATTTTCAAAGATCATTTATTTTCAATAAAAGCATATACCACAAAGGAACAAAGATGATGAAATGTATCTATATGTGTTTTAATCTATTCACAGGAAATATTTTGGAGTTGGTTTTGCATTAATTGTATTCATCAATATTAATCATTACTGCATTGAATGTACTGAGAAACTATTTGCCTTGTAGAATTTGCATCTATAGTGAAAGCTAGAAAACTCTGCCCTAGTAAAATGATCTCAAGACTTTGTCCTTTATTGAATGTGGTTGGGATTTACACATAGTAGCAAACAAACTTCCTGAAACAAAACAAAAACCAAAACCAAAACCAAACAAACAAACAACAAAACAAAAAACCAAACCAAAACAAAACCAAAAAAAACAACAACAAAAAAAAGTGAAAGTATGTGTTTAGTCATTGATATTTAAAAGACCTGGACCTGGTTAATGGTTGTACTTGATTATTTTAGAGGTATTTTCCAGCCTTAAGGATTCCATAATATTGTCTCAGTGGGATGAGCAAATTTGTCTGGAACTTGCACCAGCTATTCTGGTTCCTGCAAATTCAGTCTTGCTCCATCAAAGTGTTGTAGAAAATGAGGTACTGGGTTTTGTTCTATTTATCTGCTGCTGCTCAAACAAAAACGTGCTTTTAATGCAAAATATACAGTCCATTATCAAAACCAATATGTGATCACATGCTGGGGCATCCTTTTCCTTTATTCTCAGCAACATACAGAAGAAATTATGATGATTGTATGATACCTTGGAGCACCTTGTGCTGGTTGCTGATGAAAAAATTTAAATGGTGCAATTTTTGACAACAAAGAGTTTCCTGGAAGAGATGGCAACCATTAGAAATGTGTAAGTTTAAACTGGTTGAACGAAATGTAGGCACAATAGTAAATAGAAAGAAAGCATCAGGAGAAATGTTATGAATTAGAAGCTCAGTTGATGAGATAAAAAGATGTAGCAGGAAGTTACAGCTAAGCAGAACTGAAATATGGATGTGGCTGAAGGTGAAGAAGCAGCAATATTTTACACCTTACGTATTCAGCTATTATGCATAGATGTACATATCTGGTTTAGTATTTTTCCTTCTCTAATATTTTACTCTGTTTTAGACAGAAAGTTCCAGACTACAAACGTCTTTATCCATGTTAATTTCTTGCATTCCTATGCAGGTTTTATGTTTGATTACATATGTTATGTTTTGCTCTCTTCTGCACTTGTTTGTATTAAAATAGCACAGATACAAATGAGTTGTGTAATACTGTTACTCCTCACAACTGTGAAGATGTTTTGCCTTTGTTTCTTACTGTTCTAGCAATGCTAAACTAGATAGAGGTCAGTGAGTTCCTCTTTTTGGGTCTCACCAATATCCAGCGGATGCAGCACTTTTTCTTCACCTCCTTTATGCTGCTCTACTTGGCCACTCTTCTGGGAAACAGTGTCCTTGTGGCCATGGTGATATCTGAGCCCCGGCTCCACACACCAATGTACTTCTTCCTGGGAAACCTGTCCTGCCTGGATATTTTCTACTCCATAGTCACTGTTCCGAAGATGTTGACTGGCTTGCTCTTTGGGAACCAGCCCATCTCTTTTGGTGGGTGCTTGGCCCAGCTGCACTTCTTCCACTTCCTGGGCAGTACAGAGGCTGTGCTCCTGTTCGGGATGGCCTGTGACCGATACATGGTCATTTGCAACCCTCTGCACTATGCCCTCCTCATGAGCTCATGGACTTGCCTGCTGCTGGCTCTGGCCAGCTGGTCCACTGGGTTTGTACATGCTATGGTGCACTCAGTCATGACCTCTCAGTTGAGTTTCTGTGGCCACAACCAAATTCAGCACTTCTGTGACATCAAGCCACTGCTGAATCTGGCTTGCAGTAGGACCACACTCAACATGGCACTCCTCAATGTTGTTACCACATCTATTGTTTTAGGGCCCTTCACTTTCATAGTCCCTTCCTACCTATTATCTCTTTCCTCTTCTATAAAGTCCAGTCCCAGAAAGGAAGATGGAAACTCTTCTCCACCTGTGCCTCCCACCTCACTATTTTAGCACTGCTTTATATTTCAGTGCTCTTCAATTATACACACTTTTGAGGAAACTCCACTCAAAAGGATGTGCAAGTAACTCTTACGTATAGTGCTGTCACTCCAGCTCTGAACCCCTTGATCTACACACTTCAGAACCAGGAGGTGAAAACTGCCCTGAAAAAAACCTTACGGAGAAAACTCTTTCCTGGAGGAAAGTGACTGAAACAAGGAGAAGACTCAGAATGTGGTTGTTCCACCTCTCATATTTACAAGGAGAGAGGTAAAAAGGACACTGCATTGCCAGAGACTGTAAAACCACTGATTATCTCATGCAGTTTAATACATTTAGAGGTTAATTGTGTAGTTCTGCATCAGGAGAGATATTCAAGGAGGTGTTGCTTCTTCCATTATTTTTTATATGCCTTATGGTACGACATCTGGTCTCTGGTTTTCAGTACAGGCTCCTGCAGGACTTGGTTCATGGCTGACAGCCCCATGCAGTTGTCTTGGATGATCTTAAATGATTACTTGACAGCTATGTTTAAACAGCTGAATGACTCTCCTGTCATTCACATCTTCTGTGGAGCTGAAGAGAACCAGCATGTGTTACATTTTGGGTGACCATTTTTAGGCTAGAGAATACAGCAGGTTAATGACCGTAAGTGGTTATCTACGCTACCCACCTGCCTCTCTTTGTGGTTCTTGACAAGTCAGGTCACTGGCTAGTTTCATTTTGGGCTATGGTTAATTGCTGTCATTCATCCTGAATCAAAATGTTTCAGCTTGTTCATATCTGCTCAATGTCTTAAAATTAAAGTTTTATTTTAGATGTATATACTGACTTATTTCTAAATGAAAAGTTGTTGTTTGTAAATTAAAAATACACAATTCTGGTAAAAAACAACTTTTTCCCTGAATTTTAATTCTTTAATTTGGTTGCCAAGATTGCTTTTCTAAAGATTACGGAAATCAAGCAAATATTCCCCATATTTTCCATGCACCTATAATTATATTTTTCGTTTTTCGGAAAAAAGTATAGTCCATGTGTACATGAGAGTTATGTTATTATTATTTTAGCTACCTCACTATCCACAAAACTTTCTTTGTCCACTAATACAAATTCTTCTTTCTCTGCCTGTCTACCTGTCAAATATTTTTTACATCAGCCTGAGAATTTTCTTACCTAATATTTGTTTCTTTAATTCTTGGATGTGCACCATCACTGACTCCCACCTTTGATCTCTCATCTTATGGTGCTCATATCTGTGCATTGGTTTGACTGTCTTCTCATCGTGGGCCTATCTGTGGCAACAGAGCCTGTGCTGGTTATGTTGGTTTGTAGCCGTGAAAGAGTTTAAAAGTGTTAATCTTCACAGTGTTTGAAAATGCTATTTGTTTTTTGGAAAATTTTATCTATGTCATGTGTTTTGGTACACCTGAGTGCGCAGGTAATTTCACAAGTGAAGCACCAGTGGCAATTGGACCTGTCACTAGATTTGCAATGCAATGTTGTTTCTGAGAATGGTGAGAGGGACGATTTTGTTACTGGCATCTTTGCCCTTCATGACTCCTGAAAGAGATAGCCAAAGACACAGACGCCACAAGTTGCTTGACCACAAAGATGACTTCGCTTGGTTTTGTTTGACAGCATCAACCCCCATTGGAGAATGATGTTTACTAAGTTCATTCGGAGTATATTAATTGACATCATGTCTTTAATAAGAAACAAGAAATCCCCTGTTGCATCATACACTCATTAAAAAGTTGAAGTAGAGCAAAACTCTTTCTCAAAGACTATTTCTTCTATTAGCCACCTGATGATTGTAACAGAGAATTAGCAGAAAGAAAAAGTTTGTTCCACAGTGCTTGATCTACCAAGGCCTTGGGTAAAAATTACACAGGGTAAAGGATGGTGAACTTTATTGTAGCTTTAATGGGGCCTGTGAGGTTATTAGTGATGAAACAACTGAAGAAAGTCCAAGTGGCCCTTCCAAGAGGCAGGAGCAGAAAATCAGAGCATGGTTACAGGAAAATAAAGGAAGGAACAAATGCTTTCACCAAGCAGCTCCTTTGATGTGTCCTGTCACAGAAAGGGGCCAAGTGCTGTCCCCCACCAAGACCTTTTTAGGCCTCTTGCACCTTAGACTTCTCTCTGGTCAGTGTGGGACTTGTAGAGGAGATACCCAGGCTCCCAGGAAAGTAAAGGTGCCTGGGCAGAGATGTATGAGCCTGGCCCACACATCACTGCTGTCCCAGCCTTGATGCTCCCCTGCCCTGGGATCCCAGGCTCGAGCTGTGTGTGTCCTGAAACACAACCCTCACTTTTCATGGCACCCTCTGGCCCAGTTTGCAGACCCCTGGCAGTCCAGTCTCACCGAGATGGTGCCCAGCTTCTCCACAGAGTCCCTCCTTCCCCAGACCAGATGCCCATCCCACCAGACCCCACTGCTTCAGTAGTGTCTCGCAGACTGCCCCTGCAGACCATTCCTCATACTTCCCAGAAATGTATGGAAGCTCTTGAGCCATGAAGAATATTTTATCTCTAGCGATCACATCTTAAAGGTCCCAGTTGTCCCAGCCCTACCTCCAGCTCTTTTTTAGGAAGTTCCACAATGCTTACATTTCAGCAGCAAGCAGCTATTCTTTCCCTCCCAATAACAAACATGTTCTTCAGTTGAAGATTTCAAATTTCCACCAGATCTATTCAACAGCTTCCTGTTTCATTTTTTCTATAATTTCTTTCTTAAGTTAAATAGGAGTATCAACTGAGGTTGTATGAGAGTTAAGATCTACAATAAACATTTTGGTTTAAAAATCTCTTGATTTTTCTGCTTATTTATGTCCTGATTTGTCCCTTTGTTTTATCTCTGTTGTCAGGGGAAAACTTTTCAGAAAAGAGAGAAAAAGAGATGTTGTAGGATATTAAGTTCTGTCCAAAATCCAAATTGTATCCTCCCAGGTTAAAGCTTCAGTATAAAAATACCAATCTTCTGGCATCTATGATTATTCCCAAAACACATATGAATGAATGGATAGGAGCAGAAGGAATGGGACTCTATGGCAAAGTACAGAATATATTGGAGTACATGAAAGGAATTTTAGCAAACACAGTGAGAACACTGTTAAAGCAGATCATTTCAGATGTTACTTAAGGATGAGCTGATTCACACCAAAGAAATGACGTCTTTCTTTTGGCTATAAAGGGATGTCTAGGCATATCCACACCATAGAATGCCACAGAAGTGCCCTTCCGCTGCAGCTGTCTGCTGACGTTTGTATAAGGTTGCCTCTTTAGATCAAGTTGCAGTGGCTAGTATGTCTGATGTGTGAGATCAGCTTTGCCCTTTACGTTCTCTGCAGTGAATAACAGCAGTCTCAAAGATTTCACCGCCCTACTGTGATCAGAGTAGGAGCAGCTAACATAAAATCATAGAATCACAGACTGGTTTGGTTTGGGAGGGACCTTAAAGACCATCTTGTTCCACCAACCTCACATGGACAGGGACACCTTCCACTAGACCAGATTGCTCCAAGCCCCATCCAACCTGGCTTGAACACTTCCAGGAACAGGGCAAGCACAGCTTCCCCGTGCCAGGGCTTCACTACCCTCACAGCCAAGAATTTCTTCCCAACATCCCATCTAACCCTTCCCTGTGGTAGTGGGAAACCATTTCCCCTCATCCTGTCTCTCCAGACCATTGTCCTAAGTCCCTCTCCAGCTCTCTTGGAGCCCCTTTAGGCCTTAGAAGGGGCTCTAAGATCATGTGATAGATACGGATTTTTGCGAAATTTAAAGAAATAGGGTCTGCAAACAAAAACTGCCACTGCAGGTGATGCCACATTCTGAATTTCAACATCCACCACCTACCCTTGCAACGTGAATAAGAAGGTATCTGCACCAGCTTGCATGTCTCTCATTATTCTTCCAAAGATAGCCCAATTAATCCCCTGTCTTCCTATTATCACCAACATACCTGGTGAAGCATTTCTTGTTGTCCTGGATGTCCCTGGCTAGGTTTAATTCATCAGGGTTTTAGCTGTCCTGTGAAGGCCTTCTGGCACGTAGAACAGAGATCTGTCTTCTATTGTGTCTTTACCTCCAAACTAAAGCCTCTGTATGACACTCACAGAGACCGCAGTAAGGATGTAGCTGAGACCATCTGGTTGAACAGATGCATTTTATTTTTTCCTGGTTGCACCCCATCTACCAGACCACAGCTATAATGAAAAAAAGGATAGTTGTAGTAGGTGACTCCCTTCTGAGGGGAACTGAAGGCCTTATATGCTGACCAGACCCATCCCACAGGGAAATCTGCTACCTTCCCAGGGCCCAGGTGAGGGATATTAGTAGGAAACTCCCTGAGCTAATTCAACCCTCTGATTACTATCCACTGCTGGTGGTCCAGGCAGGCAATGACGACATTAATGAAAGAGGTACCAGGCTAATTAAAAAGGACTGCAAGGAGTTAGGTCAACTAGTTAATGGGGCAGGAGTACAGGTGGTGTTTGCCTCAGTTCCTGCAGTAGCAGGGATGACTGAGGAGAGGAGTAGGAAAGTCCATCTTATCAATGGGTGGCTAAAGAATTGGTGCCACCAGCAGAATTTTGGGTTTTTCAAGCATGGGGCAAATTCTATGGTACCTAGCCTACTAGAATAGGCAGATGGGCTTCATCTATCTAGCAAGGGCAAAAGGACTCTAGCCCTTAAATTGCCAGGGCTGATCAGGAGGGCTTTAAACTAGGTTTGAAGGGGGAAGGGATTGAAACCAGGCTCTCCAGAGATGAGCCTAAGGGTGGAAATCCTGAGTTAGAATTGAAATCAGCAGCCCAGCTGAACTGCAGGTACACCAATGCTCACGGTATGGATACCAAACAAGAGGAGCTGGAAGCCATTGTGCATCAGGAAAGCTATGATGTAGTTGCCGTCACAGAAACGTGGTGGGATGATTTGCATGACTGGAATGCTGCAATGGGTGGCTACGAGCTCTTCAAAAGGACAGGTAAGTTCGGAGAGATGGAGGGGTGGCTCTGTATGTTAGACAGTCTCTTGATTCTGTAGAACTTGAAGTCAGTAATGATAAGGTTGAGTGCCTGTGGATCAGAATCAGGCGGAAGGCCAACAAGGCTGACATCCTGGTGGGAGTCTGTTATATACCACCAAACCAGGATGATGAGGGTGATGAATCATTCTACAAGCAGCTGGCAGATGTCTCAGAATCGCCAGCCCTAATTCTTGTGGGCGACTTTAACCTGATGTCTTGTCTACACTCCCCTCTAGCGGTGTTTGTGTAATACAACGTCCCCTCATATTTTGGGGAGATTTCACTTTCTTCATATGATCTTTGAATTTTCTCTTGTTCTTGTGATATTTTTTTCTTTTTGACGTTCACCAAGCAGATGCAGAGTTGTGCTTTGCCAAGAGATCAAGCTGGTTTTGTCTGGCCTTGCAGACCAAGCAGCCTAAACACTGACTAACAAATTACACTGGACCTGGCCTTCTTAAATGCCAACTGGGAGGCTGTGGTACAAAATCAGGACCTGGAACAATCATCTCACTTATTTGTGATACCACAGCTAGGAGAAACAAGATGGAGCAGCATCTCCAGAAACAGCAGCATCTCCAGAAACAGCAGCATCTCCAGAAACAGCAGCACAGGCGTCTGCCTAGCATTGAACCCAGGTCCTAGTCAGGTTTAGACTTTACACACCAGTGCTGACTTGATATCAGTGATGATCATCATAATAATGTTTTGCTCAGTCATTGTCCTATCTGTCTGTATAATTCCATCCAGGCCCAAAAGTGATCAAAATGTAGGCTAAGAAAGTACTAATTCCAACCAGAGTGTACAGGGAAAGAATGGTTATTTATGTTATTTATGAGGCTGATGACAACAACCTCTCCAAGGCTTTTGTCTGCTTGATTGTCCCCTGGGGTGTTTCACTGGTCTCAGCTCTGAAAAGGATTTTAAGGAGTGCAGTGACAGGAGGAACACTCTCTTGCCAGATAGAATGGAAAACAAGAGTTAATATATTCAGTTGGCTAAATTAAAAAAAAAAAAAGAAAATCTGAAGATTATTGAGGGGGATACACATATCTTTGCCAAACACAGAGCTCTATTTTTTTTTCCTTTTTTCTTAAAAAAATCAAGATCTTCATGAAAGTAAAGCTGGATACAAAAACCTCAAGAAGTCAAAGATCTTTTACTCAGATTTCAATGTTCCTGTGGCTTCAGGTAAGAAACAGCATTGAAGGTTGTGCTGACTGGCACAGAAACAGGCCACACTTCCAACATTTTCAGTGGTTAGATGTTAGAAAATTAACTAAAAATTTGGGGTTTGAATGGGTAAGAGTTTGAGGGGAAAATTAAAATTAGTTCTGTGGAAAGAAATGTGTAAGTCTTGCAAAGTTATGCTATTATATGAGGGCAGAAGGTGCCCACACTGTGGGACCAGCCCAGAACATGGAGGGTTTCTGGGTTCCAGCGCACAGGACCGGGGCATGTCCATGAGCTTCCCCCCAGGGCTTTTCTCCATCCATTTCCCCTCAGCCTGTGTTTGTGCTGGGATTGCCCCTGCCCAGGGGCAGGACCTTGTTCTTGGCCGTGTTGAGCTTCATGAGGTTTGCATGGTCCAACCTCTCCAGTCTGACCAGAACCCTCTGGATGGCATCTCTTCCCTTCAGTATGTCAAACACACCACTGACTGACTGGCCCATGGCTCCCTGGGTCTTCTTTGCTTCTGTTTTTAAACGTGAGGGTTATGTTTCCTCTTTTCCAGTCAGTGGGAACTTCACTGGATTACTACAACTTGTCAAATGTGGCTTAGACACTTATTTTCTGTAGGATGTACAGATGTGTCTCATCAACTCCCATGGAACTGTGCATCTTCAGGTTCCTTGTATGGCCCTATACCTGATCCTCTCCTACCACAGGCAAGTCCTCATTCTCCCACTCCTGCCTTTGCCTCCTGTGACTCAGACAGTGTGGATGGAGCCCTTGCTGGTGAAGACCAAGGTAAAAAAGCCATGGAGTACCTCATTCTTCTCCAAGTCCCACATAACAAGATCTCTTTCTTTCCAGAGAGGGCCCACATTTTCCCTTCTTTTTCTTTTATTCCCAACATATATATAGAAGCTTTTTTTATGTTGTCCTTGGTGTCCCTGGCCAGGTTTCATTTTTTCAGGGCTTTAGCTCTCCTGACTTGATATCTGCCTGCTCAGACTCTTCTTCTATATTCCTCTCAGGTTACTGTCCTTGCATCCACTTTCTGTTGTCTCCCTGTACCAGTTTACCCTTAACTGCAGTATTGTGATTAATTTGACCACTGATTCTTTTTTTTTTATGAAATCTAGAAAAATTTTTTCAAAGCCCCAGGATTTTTGGAAAATCAGATTTGTAAGAAAATCTAGAGAAAGATATAGGAGAGGAAAATAAAAATGGGCACTATGACAAGCAGTAGGATTTATCTGAATTGTATTTTTCTGATTAAGCACCTGGCTACTAAAGTCTGATTTCTCAGTGACAAGAAATCAGTACTTTCAAAAGATGACTTATTCTGTCTGTTTTAAGTGAATTAAACTCCTTACATTTGGAATCATTTGTTCTACCTATTGACACAAAAGAAGGATGAGACAACTGCAAAGGGCTTTTGTTTGTGAGTGTTTCAGGGTAAACATATGTGAAGGATGGTATAGATGTCCTTCATACTTGTTTTCATTGATGGAAAGTGATTGTTTTTCAAATAAGATTTAAAATGTCTTTGAAATGCTACATTTGAATTGTTCTTCAAATAAGAAAAATTTCTGCACAAGAAGTCTGCACTACATACCTATAAATAGTGACTATATAGTATACATCAATGCATCAATACTTATTAACAATGGAAATACAGCTATGTCACTGCTGGAGCAATCTGACCAAATACCTTTTTTTTTTTTTTTTTTTTTTTTCCACAACAGAAAAGAATATGGCAAAATTTGTGACAGCATCTGCTAGAAGAACTTGATTTTTAGTTTGCTTGCACAGACTGGAGATGTTAGAAAGCACCCTTGTGCCAGAGAAGAAACATGGATATCAGTTCAGTTGCAGGTACTCTTCTTAGTACATAGAGTAATAATTAATGTGATTCTGAGTATGCGAGAAGTCGTTTTATAAAAATCACATGACAGGTCTGGTGATGCAAAGCCTTTTTTACTCTTTGCTTCTCTAGTCTGTGAAGAAATTTTCATTTTTTTTCATAAGTATTGAGGTCTTCATTGCTGGTAGCACTTCCTGATTTAACACTAGAACAAAAGTCATGGCAAATAAAGAGTGGAAAAATGGAACAGTTGTTACCGAGTTCATCCTCCTAGATTTTGGGAATGGCCCTCAACTGGATTGTCTTCTCTTCCTGATGTTTCTGTCTATCTACTTTGTGACCGTAACTGGGAACACCTGCATCGCTGTGCTGGTGGTGGTTAATCAGCACCTCCACACCCAAATGTACTTCTTCCTGGGCAATTTGGCCTGCTTGGAAATCTGCTACAGCTCCAGTCTCTTGCCAAGGATGGTGCTCGGCTATGCAGATAGAGACAGGCGCATTTCAGTCAGGGGGTGTTTCACACAGTTCTATTTCTTTGGCTGCTTGGCAGCTGCAGAGTGTTACCTGCTGGCCATGATGTCCTATGACTGGTACCTCGCGGTGTGTGAGCCCCTGCACTACCCATCCCGCATGGACACTAAGCTCTGCCTCTGGTTGGGCGCTGCATCCTGGGTCAGTGGCTTTCTGTCCAATTCCATACTAATGTTCGTGATCTCGAATTTGGATTTCTGTGGGCCAAATGAAATCGACCATTTTTTCTGCCACTCCTTGCCAGTGATGAAACTCTCTTGCAGTGACATATGGGTGGCAGGATTTGTCACTTCTGTAGTGGTAGGTGTATGCTTGCTGCCTCCATTCCTGTTGACCTTCTCATCCTATCTCTACATCTTTGTCACAATTGTGAGAATTCCTTCTGCCACTGGAAGGAAAAAAGGCCTTTTTCACTTGCTCCTCACATCTTACTGTGGTGATTCTTTTTTACTGGTCAGTATTAGCTGTCTACGTACTCCCTTATCATGATACCCACATATTGCCAAACAAAGTCTTCTCTGCTTTTTACACCATTCTCATTCCCTTGGTCAACCCTCTCATCTACAGTCTGAGAAACAAAGAAATAAAGAAAGCTCTACAGAAGCATAGGAGAAAATTGTTTGCTTTCTGAGGGCTGCTTTCTGTGACAAAAAATAAGGGGTAATGGCCCTTAATGAGTTACAGACACAATTACATTGCATGTGAATGTAGTTAGTTTGAATAAAGCTCAGAAATATATAGCTGTATCTCTTAAAAAAAATATAAGCAGAGGAACAAAATGGGTAAATGATCTTGCTATCACGGGGGGGGGGTAGGGTCTGGAGAGAGATAAGGAACATGTGGAGAGCACTGTAAAGGAAGCAAAATAAATCTGTGAGTCATTATGTACGTATTATTGGATCTGATATCTTCTTACCAGTCTGCTTGCTTGCTTTTTTCTCACTACAGCTGAAATTCAGTTCAGAATAAGTTGAAACACAATTTATAGCAAATAGACTGTTTTTTATTAATGCTATGTTCAGGTTACTTTTAATTTTCACACCCACGGTCTACATCCAAGACAGTCATTTGGACCTCCTTGGTTGCAAATGAAGAGAGTGAGAAACATTGCTCAAATATGGTCCCTCTGATCTATTTTGGGGGTTTGGTTTTGGTTAATACAAGCTACAATCTAGAAGGACTTGGTACCAGATACTAAAGAACTTCTTGGTCATACAGAAGAACATGCACTGTAGACATCCAGTGTAAAATTAATTAAATACCGTCCAGATTTGGACTGACAATTAAAGGCCTAAAGTAAAGCAAAACTCACACAACAACATTGCAACAACTTTCAAAGAGGAATTGCCACCCTGTTGATGTTTAATGGAGAGGAAGGGAGATGAAGGGAATTACCAACCTAAACCAAGTTCATTTTGCTTGTGTATTTTTATTATCCTTGATAACAAACAAGAAGTAGGAAAGGGTGTTTAGATATCTGAAGGTTATGGAATTGTGATTGTGATGTATGTCCTAATAGTTAAAAATCGTTAAAAAAAGAAAGAAACAGTGGTCAGCAAAGCCTCACACTTCCTGAGGACACTGCTTGAAGTGTCCAAGCAGTGCAATAAGCAGTGGAGAAGACGCAGCACAGGAACAGGGGTGGCAGTTATAATAAGGAAATAAAGCTTTTAAAAGTGGTTAGAAGAGAAATGGCTAATGGGAAATATTCCTGGGGTCTAGAGGAGGGAATGACTGGAGAGAGGATTAGTAAAACTAGGAAGGAATAGGTACCACTTGCCACACAAAGCTGATGAGAAAGGAAAATCTTTCTATCTGTCCCATAGCACTTATCCTCAAAAGGCCATATTAACCACACCCAGCACTGCCTCTATTGCTGTGTTTACTGTAATGGATGTCCATTAACACTCAGACATCTGCAACACAAACTCTACATGTGTGTCACTTACCTGGTTTCCCAGCATACTCAGTGGAGAAAGACATTTCTATATTGTGACTACACATTTTTGGCTTTTGAGGCTGTGGTGAATTACACCTTGGAAGTGTCTGTTCCTTTTCTTTGACAAATACAGATGTAGAAATTTAGGATTCAAACCACTTGACAAACATGGGTTTTCAGCGCGATTTGAAACACCAAGAGCATCTTAGCTGGTCTCCAGGAATGTTCCAGGAGTGGTCCTTTGTGGTCTCTATTGCATTATCTAGCCTCCAGCAGATATTTTGGATGCTCTAGAGTATTTTAAAAGCCACTGGATACGTTAAAAACAATTCAGCCACTAGATTATAGATGTCTGCAGTTGGGTATGATGAATCTGTCTTTGATTTGCCACTGGGTTTCCTTACTTTGCACAAAGCACTTTGCTCAGTCTGGGTCAAGGACACTTCAATAAATTAGTTTTGGAAACCTCACACTGAATTTCTAATTTTTTGAAGTGCTGTAGTTCATGTAGGATCCATTTCACGTGAATTTATCTGTTCAACCATAGATTCTTTACCTGAAGGACATGCTGCTGCTATCTGTCTCAAAAAGAGAGAGCTGCCTTCAGAGGTGATTTACGCATCCTCAGATGTCCAAAACAAACAGTCTGTTTTGGTTTGGGGTTTCTTTCTCTCCACCAAAACTGACCTGATTAATAATTCTAACAAGGCAGCCAGCAAAGAGTTTTTCTCCTCACATTACCTTCAAATGGAGATTCACAATTTGTTACTTAAACTTAAATTTAACCCAATCATTGTTAACTTTATTGCCACTACTCATGTAAGATAAAAAAGCAAAAATATAGTCAACTTCCATTATTTTAAATTGTTTACAGTTTGCTACCAGGGGAGACATTTTGCCTTCCGAGTACAGCTGGTATTGAGTCCAGAGAGGGATTCCTATCTCAGGAAGCAATGCAAGATACCACGAAGTTCTGAACAGATGTAGGGGGTTAACACAGAGCCACATTAATCTCTGGTATTCGTACCAAGCACTATGTAGTAACCATGGCAAACACTGTTGTGCTAAAAATTAAAAGAATTTTCCTACATCTTCCCCCACTGCTGAGTAGAATTCTTTTTAAAGAAATATGCCATGTTTGGCAACGTCTCCGTTAAGCTTTTTTATTTCCAAATAATGGGGGGGGACATGGAGCAAGTTCCTGGGAAAAGGGGAAAGCTCCAACAGCAGGTTGGAAAGCTACACACCACAGCACGTTCATCCGTTGTCACCCGTTGTGGGGGGACAGCGGGGCTGTCGCAGTCACTCTGCTGGGTGCGGAGACCACTGCTGTCCTGGTAAGCCCACCCAGGTGTGCATCGGGCCTGGAGGAGTGGGAATTAGGATGTTAAGAGCATCGACGTCTAGGCCATTACCCATGCCAGCAGAGTGGCGCAGCGGGAGCGTGCTGGGCCCATAACCCAGAGGTCGATGGATCGAAACCATCCTCTGCTAGTTGCTATTCTTTTGCTTTGGCCCCTTTTGCGAGCCCTAGAGTCGCAGTGAGCCAGAGGGAGGTGGTGTGGGCAATGGAGCCACAGCCAGTTAGCTACTTAGAGTGTGGTGCTTATAACGCTAAGGTCGAGGGTTTGGGCCACTTTGGCTGAGATTGCATATGACTGTTTTTTTCCCTTCTGGCCCTCCCTTTTGTGGCAGTGACAGTGACAGGGAGAGAGCCCGTAGGATAGGGGTCCTGGCAGACCTTGTAGTCTCTCCCCCTGCTTTCCCTACTCCTCCTTTTGCAGGTGTTCATTCCTATGCAAGGATAAACTTCACTGGATGTTCGTGGTGGGTGCACCGGCTCCAGCAGCCCCGCCAACAATCTGTGACTGACCTCAGCTGCGCCATGGATGGATTCAGGTGTGCAGCACCTGTGCAGCTCAACCTCCATCACCTCTGCGTGGTGGCTGTGGCAGGGTCAGACCCCGGCCAGTGAGGGTTATTGTGACTGTATCTGACCACTGATCAGATTCAGCTGCGGTATAGATGGAGCCCAGGTAGGGAGGGAGGGCAGCAGAGTTGGTTCTCCTTGAAGGATGACACCTGGGAGGCCCGCCCCTTGGGTCAGGACCAAGGTAAATCCAAATTCTGCTTTCCAGAAGGTTAGCACTGGGATCATGAGTTGTGCTTGGCTGCCCCCCCCCAGCTGCCTGGAGATGCTCTGGAATGATGAATGGGAACACGTGAGCTCTAACAAACCCATTTACTTGTGTCAAGTACTTGCACAACCTCCGCTTTTGACCTGGCTCACGAGGCAAAGGGGGATGTAACACTTTGTAAATGAATAATCACACCAGCACTGGGAGGACTGAACATGGGATTATGCCATGGGAAAGGTCCACCTGATTTTAGATATAGTGCTAAACCCCTGTAAATAGGCACAGGAGGGGAACAGGGCAAGAACAAATGCAGGAACACTTCCTAACAGTCTGTGTGGCCAAAGAAGTTTTGGAAATAAAAAACCAACAGTCCTCTATTACAAATCATGTTTGTTGGTTAATATACACAACACAAGCAGCTTTAACAAACATAGTTTATATACATTGTTAAGTATTAAAATCCATCGAGTCCCGAGGCCTTATTTATTATTTAGGTACTGTTGCCTCCCCCCGTGTTCTTCCCAGAGGCTCCTGCCTTCTGCATCCGGCTCGCACTCGGCTGTCGAGGCATCCTCTGGGCAGATCCTTCTCTGCTGCTCCTTTCAGCCAGAACCTGGGTCCCACTGACGGCAGAGCTGGTTTTATTTCTCCCTGAATAAACAAATACATCCATTAATTTTCACATCCCAACCCAAGCATCAGGCACACAGCAGCTAAGGGCAAGCGTTCCTTCAGGAACCATGCAAGAGGCAAAATCCTGTTAAATCCCACAAATGTGTTCATCATCCAGCACAGAAAGCGGATTGGTGAATTCAGCCCAAAAGGGATCAGCACCACAAAACCCAAATGTGTTGCAGTAGGAGCATTTTTCATTTTCATCAGGTTTAATCTACAAAGTAACCAACCACTTGGTTCCATTCATTCCACGAGAGAACAGCAGGGTGGCAAACAGCACTGCTGGGACACCAAGAGCTTCCAACACCTCCAGCTCGGGTAAGTCAATGGATGAATCAGTGCACACCAGTGTCTGAGGCTGCCACCACACCATCAGATCACAAATACTTTTCCCCATGTCACTTTTGTCACTCCATGAGCAGGTTTGGATTTCCTATCATTTTCTAGGATTTTCAGCAGCTCAGACTCCTGCACAGGACTTAAAGATGTTCTTACTGAGTTCAGAAGACGAGAGTTCACCTCCTGTGGGCACAACTGACCGTCTCCAAACGGCAAAGTGAGAGCAAGGAGCAGCAGTGGGTACACAGGTAGAAGCTGAGGGAGGCAAGGGGGACACAGCCCATGGTGCTGGATCCAGCAGAGGAGAAAGCAAGAGAATCTCTGTGCAGACACAAACGTCAGGAGGGGATAAGGGAGGGACACTGACTTTCCCTGCACTGAAGGAAACTGATTCGGGTGAGAAGTAGGACTCACATTAGAAAAGAGAATAAAAGGAATGCGATACGAAGGGTTACAGCTTTTACTGAAGACAGTAACCTTCACAAAGGATCATAAAACTTCATAATAGCAAGGAGGAAACAAAACAGGAACATATTGAGCTGTAGTTACATGCATGCAATTAAAATGAAGAGTGACATCTTGGCAATCATTATCAGAGCAACTTCCACAGCACCAACAGCCGCTCCACATTCTGGAGTCTCCAAGGGCATGGTTTGGAAATCACCATCTTGGATCACTTACGCTATGGACAGTGCACACAGTTACTTACCAAACCATCCCATCTTCTCGGAGCAGCTGTCTGGGAACAGGACTCACATCAATACCATCAGTTAACACCCTGCTGTACCAGAAAGACAACCTGTGAACTTCCAAAATAAGAGTAGTGGCCACTACATGTCTGTAAAATTTGGGTGGCAAAAAAACAATCCATTCACTTATCCCAGCCAGCTCAGGTGTTCTTAAAAAACTCTCTTATGGTAAAGCACATTAGTGATGTGCCAGCAGTCACCATCCCAAGCCGGCCAATCAGCCTTGTCAGCTGCCTTGTAGCTCAGACATTTTTAAGCAGCTTCACTAATGCAAGTGTTGACCACGAAAACAAACACATTGTCAAAGGCAATAGGTGATCTCAGAGTATTTGAGAGAAAAAGTGGCAGGAGTAAAAAGCATTATTCACTATGATGCTTTTAGCAATCCAGGACAGCTGTTCAGGAGATTGCACTCCCGTTTCTCACATGCATCTGTCTGGTGAGAGGGTAGGGCCTCAACTTGTGTACGACAACTCCAGCCATGTGCACATACACAGAGGGGTACCATTAGAACACTACTGGAGTCAGGCCCTGGATGTTCTGACCCAGCTGAAACAACTTGGGGAGAAAGAGTACCTTGATTGAAGAGAAGCTGCACTCAAAAGTACATGCCCTCAATCCCCTTAGTCTTGAGATCACAGGGAAACAAACCAGTTAAACAGCATAAAAACTCAGTATATTTTTGGAAGCACCCTGTGTTGACCTGTGTGTGCAAGGACGGGAATGGTTTGTGCTTCCCTCAGTTACACTATCAGAGATAACAGATTCAGTTACAGGAAGCACAAAAGCAGCTTGACAACCACAAACTAATTTGAGCACTACAGATGAACAAAAGGATTCCACCGATATTTTCCTTGGGGACATACAAGAGGTCCTTATCTTGGATGTGTCTGGCTGCCACAGAACAACTGCAGCCCAAACAGCTACGGATGCAAGAGAGCCTAATCGAACACCTGCCTCCCCAAAGACGACTCCAGAAACAGCAGCTCTGTGTTTATCATCTCCTTGAGAGCCAGACATAGTTTGGGAAGAATGGTATATGCACACAAGCAGTCTTAAGTACCAGAGTGAGAAAGCAGTAATGGCCAGTCTTCGCGAACGAAGAACCGGGGAAGGTCTTTACACCTTCCAGCCTGCGCATTGGATTTTTTAGGTGAGACACAGTGTGCGCGGAACTGAGCCCACGCTTTAATCCTGAGGTTCATCTGCCGGGGCCAAGCACGCTTGGACGGTGGCAGCAAGGTCCTCAGGATGTAGATGGATTGCCTTATGGGCTAACGAGCTCCATCTGCCCGGGGAGGGGCCCCGACCGGGAATCGAACCCGGGTCTCTGCAGTGACAGTGCAGCGCCTTTACCCGCTACGAAGCAGGAGGCAAGAGAAGCTTTAGGAAAGGAACCTCAACCCCAAATATGCTTCCAGAAGCAGAAATCTAAAGCTCTGCTCTTTCAGTTTCCTCTCTACTCAACCTACTGCTTTCCTCAAGGGATCCTTTCCTGCCTCTGAGCAGTAACAGGGACTACAAATTTTCCTCTCACTGGTAAATAAATAAATAAATGTCTTATTGGTACCTTTACCTGTAGCACAGTCAGCAATACCAGGACTGCAGCATTCTCAAGATATCTCCTGCAGTGCATATTGATATATTGGCACCGACTATGGCCTAGAGCCACCATGAGAGTACTTTTAAATGCACCAAAATTCTGCTCCTGTTTCTGTCTTGCATTAAAGCTTGCACCAGGCACAGGAAACCAGCTGGCCTTTCTAGACCAAGAAAGACTCAGCTTTAGGTGGGAACAAGAAAAAAAAAAAAAAAAAAAAAAGACCTGTGCAAGCACTAGGTGTTGCCTAGAGGACCACACAAACACCTTCTGGCCAGTCACTGGAAATGAGCACTTGGACAGGACTCACTTCAAACCTCATCACCTCCTGCCCATGGAACAATCCCAGGCACAGCCAGACTTCACTCTGCATGCACTCCCAGTATGTGACCGTGGCTCATTACACTCAATCCATTGCCAAAGTGCCAGGTTTGCCTATAGGTTCCTGCTCACATCCGTACACAAACCCTGAATGTCCTTCTCTTCTGCAATACAACCTGGGAGATTCTCAGGTCCTCAAAACTGCTACCACATCCTCAACAGCTAATACACGGCCTGGGCTCTCTCCAGAGCCAAAACATCACCCCAAATCATTCACCTCTCTGGCTCTCCTGAGGGACGGTTCCCTTCCAGGCTGCTCAGCAGAGCCTCAGGAGCTCCTCTCCCATCACTGACCAATATGAAATGCACCAGCCTTTTCCCTATAAGTCCCTGGTTGCTCCTTATTTTAGCAGTTTTCACCATCACACTTGAGATATCTCATTTTCTCCCCTTCTCCTCTACACAGATTACACAAAGAGAAGACGGTCCCTCATTTTTCTCAGAGAACTCTATTGAGTCTATATTTATAAGACTTTTTGAGTGTTTCTTTGGTAGGGTGAGGGGGGAAGAACGAGTTGTCACTCAATGAGTTATCAATCAAACTCATATCTCATTACTTTGCACAAAGCCACACATGACAAGTCTGGCATTTCCTTGTGAAAAAAATAATTTAAAAACAAAAAAACAAACAAAAAAACCCCACACACACAAAAAAACCAAAAACAAACAAAAAACAAACAAAACAAAAAAACCCTTGAAAATCAGCCATCAGCCTGAAAAGACATTCTCAAAAAATTAACTCAATGCCTATCAGAGAGGAAAACTCAGAGCATCAGGTAAACCTGAAAACCCCTTCCATGGGAAAAATGTGACAGGACAGATATCTACATGGCCATCTATTCTTTTGGAGCCACATTAGGTTTTGATTCCAGCCTAGGTTTTGTTGTAAGTTGTTCCTAGTATTAGGAGTAAGAAATTGCAGTTTGTGTGTGCTGTTTCTGTTGAAGTAGAAAAGACTATTTCACTACCCATTCACCTGTGTTTTGAGAGTACCAAAATTTATTATAACCCCCTGGGAGAGGAAAGGTGCAGGACCTTTTAACCAAGGGAATTTCAACCATTCAAGAAAGCACAGTGCAGTTGAGAATTTTTTTAATCAGTTCTAAAATAACTGACATCTTATGATAATTTCTGTACCACAAGTGACAAAGGTCTATAAATCGAAGGTATTCAGTTGCTGATGGACTAATGAAATGCCTACAATGCAGAAGCATTATTTCAAAAAGTGCATTTCAGAATGTGAGCCTGGGAGAAGGGAGAGGGACAGCAACAACTCCACACCAAGAATGCTCTGAGCATAAAACTTTCCCCGTGTATTTATCATGTCCATCATTTCACAAAACAAGAATAAAGGCCTCTGATTCAAAAGGCTTGCACTCTCCTGTTTAAGGGAGGAAAAGCTAAAGGGAGTGAGAGTTGCAGGATAAGATCCAGAAAGCAACTTAAATGCTCCTTAGGGAATGCAAGAAATCCACTCATTGGAGTGGTCTTGACAGAGTACTGGAAAAAACCTGAATATGAGTGAAGCAACTAAGTAAGAAACCATGATCACGACTCTGTTAGTCCTTTGTTTAGTTAGTGCTACAAGTCACTGATTGATCATTCTAGAGAATTTTTTTCAGGGAAGACATACAAACCACAAAGTGCTTGAGGACATTTCCAGGTGCATGGTATGGTTGAGAACACTTCTCTATCATTCACATCCCATGGATATATTTAATCTACAATTAAAGCATAACAGCCAGTATAGCCAACAGGAAAATTCACTGGATGATTTATAAAACCCAGATTAAATAAATTTAAGGGAAATCCTTAGCAACTCCAAGGGGATTCCCTCTGCTGTATCAAAGCTCTATAGAGCACTATCCTCGCCAGCATTATCCTTATCTACTTAATACAGGAGTCTACACTACAAATCCCACACCAAGTCCCTGAGATAACTCAAGGTTGAGTGTAAGAGGAATGCAGAGCTGGCAGCCACTGTGGGCCCACACAGCAAAGGTCACCATCCCAAAAGGCTCATCACAGCTAAAGACAGCACAAAGTGAAAGAAGTGAGAAAAAAGGATGAACAGGGAAGGATAAAAAACACAAGGATTGCAAGAAGAACACTCAGGGAGGACAAAGTTGGCAACAAAGTGTGTAGTAGACAGGGGGATATTTAGGAAATAATCAAACAGCAACACTTACAATTCTGAGATTTGACTGTATTTAAGTATTTACACAGGAAGAAAGAAGTTACAAATACATGGACCTAGATAACTGCAGCCGCTTGTCTGCCTTTTGACAGGGGACGAAGCAGAGACAGAGCAGAAGGGCAGAGCTGAAGGGCACAAAGCAGCTCAGCAAGGGCAGGACAGGTGCTGTTTCAGAGTACAGAGCTTTGGCTGTAACCACAGACACAAGTCCCAGTAATGCAGAAGAGGCATCTCCCACCTCCAGATGCCTGGTCCTGCATGGAAGCTGCACCATCCTCTTCTGAAATGCAAGGAGCACCTTCCAATAGGACACGGCAAAGCCAACAGCAGACAGAGCTCTGGTTCCCCTTCCCTGTAACAGCTCTCAAAGGGAAAGGAGGCAAGGCAAAGTGAACACTCCTGCAGAACAGATCCAGCACAGAGGACACCCTCAGACATCCTATTAACACTTACCCAGCTCCTGAAGGATGCTTAGACTGTGCCCAGAACTAGAAAGCTCGGTGAATGAGAATTGATTCTTTTTCAAACGGAGGGATGGTATATTTAGATCAGATACTGGGAAGAAATGTCAATTTTAAAGGAATACTAGCTGGACACACTAGGACTGCAATCTGACTCAGACCATGAGATGCCCTGCAAACAATGCAGAATGAGCATCCTACATTGGTACAGACACAACCAGATTAAGCTCCCAAGACAGATATTAATTCCTGCAAATTCAGCCTCCCTAAGGTGCCTGTAGCACATCCAGGTGGTAGGAGGAAATGGTTAAGGGCACATCAACTCTACCTTAGGGCTTTTGGCTTTTCCTCTTGAGAAATTTAATGCTGATTAACAAACAAGTGGCCATCTGACTGTTACAAACCTGTGCCAGCACAGTACTCACTAAAATTAGGTCACAGCAGTGGATCAGTGCTAGAAAAAAAAGCCTCATTTATCCGGAAAGTACCACCCAAACAGCACACATGAGAGAACAGGAGATGCTTCACATTATAGACAGACAGGGACAAAAACCTTACCAATGTTCCTTCACAGTTTGAGCAGTCTGTAACAGCTAGACCACCAACAAAGCAGAAGAGAGCAAAATTTAACAGCATATTTTGTTTAAAATCTGTGCTCTTTTGTGATGTTCCCTCTCAACATGGTACTGGAATAGCATGCTACTTCTTATTTAAAAAAAACACTCTCTCCCATTTTGCTCAGAAAAGAAGTGATCAGACAGGTGTCTTCCCCTGGCCCTGTGCATTCTCAGAATTACTTTTTAGTCACATGTGAGGCTGTTCTTCTCACCATAACTACCTTCCCTGCAGAGAATTCTTCACCAAGAGCATCTCCTGTGAAAGGAAGACTGTTCATGGTGAAATCCATGGAGTTCTGCACACTTCATCCACACACTCTAACTTCCATTAGGGCTTCAGCAGACTTCCCAAGTCTCTGTGCAGCCACCCTCAGCTGCTCGAGGAGGGGATGCCCACCCACTTACCATGTGGGAATCCACACTGCAAAAGTAGGCTCTGTTGTGAAGGTGCCAGATTGAGGCATAATCCCTTTATCCCAAAACTGACTGCTTATCAAATAAATCCTGCTTTTCAACTTCACTTTCTACGGGGCTTGGCAAGCACAGCTAAGAGAATAAACAAACCCAACCACCAAGGCAGCCTCAGGAGTGAGACCAGACTGAGTGGTACCACATTATCGCAACAGGGAAACCTCACTCTCCCCCACCTATGCCCACCAAGCTTTTTTCTCTTGCCCAATTTTCTGTGTTCCCAGTACAGTCCCTGCAACCCAAAATTCAGAGTGGGTCAATACAAACTCAGCAGGCACACAACAGTTTTCATCCAGAAACAGAGAGAGGATGGGAAAACAGGACATAATACAATTAGACTTGACCTCATCATCTTCTAGGCCCTTGCTGGGACCATTGTCCCTTTCTGATACATTTCTGATCACAGGAGAAACGAGCCTCTTCACTGTGAATTCAGGCTTAGTGACAGCAGACTTACTTTAGCTACCTCTTTTTAGATATTTTGGACAGAATCTGTCCAGATCGACAGACATGGTGAGCTACCAGCCAAAAGTCACTTCAGGGAGTAAATACAAGTTTTATTCGAGCTGGTTTGGAATAAAAAAAATATTATACATATATATATATATATGGCACAAGTTCGGGGCTATGTTTGCTGCTGTCCACAGAAATCAGAGCAGTAAGGAAAGATAAACGCAGTCAAAAGCAGTTCCTATTTTAGCTGACAATTCCTCACAGCCTCTCACTTTATCTTCCCATCAAAATACCATTTGTAGAGGATGGACCGCTGGATGAGTGTTAGAAGGGGAGAGAGCAAAGGGAGCATCCCTCCTTTTCCAAGGATTCCTCATGGACCAGAAACTTTACCCTTTTCGTCGAGTTATATATGCGCAAAGCAGCACTATGTAATATTGCGGATTAAGAGGTTCTTTCTGTTGGTGAGCAGAGCCAGGAGGTTACAAGACCCCGAGTGCTGCAGCAACCTCCCCCCAACTCCCGCAAAAATGATAAGAATGAGGACAAAAGGAGGGCGGCTCAGCTGGGCCGGGGCTCACACCGAGAGGGCCCCCAGGCCGTGTCTGCTCTCATACGGAGCGTGCCCCGCGGGGCCCGGCCGAGCCACTACTCGAGCCGGCGCGCGGGCCCCTCCCCGCGGGGGGGCGGGCGCGGGGCGGGGGGAGCCCGTGGGGCCGCGGCGGGCGCAGCGCGGGGCTGGGGAGCGGCGGGGCCCGGCCGGCCCCGGAGCGGTGTACGGGAAGGTCCCTAGGGGTCTCCGCACTCGGCGTCGCCGCCCGCCCGCCCCGGCCCAGCCCGGCCTGGCGCGTACCTCGGGTGTCCGCGGGCAGCGGTGCTGTGGCGGCGGGGCCGCCCTCGGGCCCCGGCGGCAGCCGTTGCCCGGCGCACATCGACTTCAGCACCTGGAACACGGCGAGCGGCGCCACGTTCATGCGCAGCAGGTCCAGCAGCACCCTGAGGGGGGAGACGCCCGTCAAGCGGGAAGCGCGGCGGCAGCCGCGAGCTCCCGCAGGGCCGTCCCCCCCCCCCGCCCGCTCACCGGAACACCTCGGAGTCCAGCCCGCTGCCCGCCGCCTGCGCCAGCTCGAACAGCTCCGCCTCCTCCGCGTTGAGGAGCTGCTTGCGCCGCAGCCGCGCCTCCGACACCGACACAGCCGCCATGACCGCCACCACCTTCGCCGTAGCGGGGGCACGCCCCTCACGGCATGGACCGCCCCCTCACCGAACTCCGAACTCCCCCGCCAGGCCGCGCCCCCTCACGGCCAGACCACGCCTCTAGGATCATGGCCCCGCCCCTTCACCGCCCCGCCTCGCCCTCTCACGGCGCTGCTGTTCCCGGCGCTGTCGGCAGGCGGCAGCCGCGCTCCAGCCGCCCTCAAACAGGGCAGCGCTTCCACCCAGGCCCCGCCGATGTCTGTCTGGCCCCGCCGGTGTCTCCTGTGCTCCAGGGCGGGACCAGCGAGGGGCGCTGGGAGCGCTCCGGGAGGTGCTGCGGGTCAGGGTGCGGAGGAGCCGCGGGACCCGCGGAGCCACAAACGGATCATCCTCCGCGTTCTCGCTCCCAACCGCCCCCAATCCTCGAGCCCCGAGAGCATCTGGCGTGGCCTGGGGAAGATAATTGAAAATTTGGGTCTTGAGTCGCAGCGAGACGAGGAACCGGCAAACTGAGATTGAAATTCCTCTATCTAAATGGAAATGAGCTGTTGCCATCGGGGAGGAAGGGATGGGCTGTCCCCCGTCCCCCCGTCCCAGCACACACAGACCAGCTGCGCTGCCAGACGGAGAGCAGAGCAGGGGGATCACTGTGTCCCCCCGGCAGCGCCAGAAGAGACCCCGGTCCACCCCTACAGCAGGAGAGAGACGCTCCCGCTCCACACGCCGAGCAACCTGCGTGTCAAAATCATTCCCTGCTACAGGTGACCAGACCATGTGTCCCGAAAGGCTCCGCTGACAGGCAGATTTACTGCAGCTGCCGAGACGGGAATGAGGCGGATGATGATGAAGAAGGATTTTGCTGCTCATGGCCCCGAGCAGGACCAGCCCAGCAAGGACAGAGATGGTGGCGTTTCCAGCTGCCAGCACGAATTACCCGGCTGTCTGCGGGGCCGACAGTGCTGGAGACACAGAGCCTGAGGTTGTCCCAAATGCTGGACTTTCAGAGGGACCCTCAGCTGAGTGGGGCAGTGCAGGGTCTGTGATGCAGAAGAGACTGAGAAACATCCCAGTGCTTGCTCTCTTGCTAGCTCTGGTGTGTAATGTACTACTTCCTTTGGGACAGGCTGGAAGTCCAAGGGCAAGAGACCACATTTTGCGGGTGATGCAGTCTCCAAACCTTCCCGGTCTACCTGGACCACTTCCCCCAGCCTGTGGCACCTGAGAGCTCAGCTACAAGTCACAACAGAAGCCCACAAGGTGCTTTTTAGCTCAGCCCTTTTCTGGAAAAAAAGAAGAAAACCAAGATTCACCTTCCCTACAACAAACAGAAGTTTCAACTTTTACCTCCCTCCTTCCCAGCCCCAGCCTGTTCAAGATGGCAGCTTTCCCTGCATGCTGTGGTCACCATCATCAGCAAACAGGGCTGGAGACCTCTCCAGGGCAAGGGATGGGAGACCCTGCCCCTCCTGTGCCTCCTTCATAGGCCTCTGTAGCCATGGCTGTGGGTCACACCTTCCCCACATTTCTTGGTGGGCACAGACTGCAACTTTGACAACCCTCTCCTTTGGACTTCAAGGTTCCTTCTGAAGCATTTCCGCAGGCTCTGATCTCCCAGTTTCCCCCTTTTGCTCTCCCAATCCAACAGGTCAGTAGAGGAAGTCCTTTGGAACCCATAAACATCCCCTGAGAATACCTCACTTATTGGAGGTGCAGTTTGGTGGCACCTGGGACACTGGCCTAAATGACAGTGGGCAGGACACTGGGTCTCGCTGCCTGCCAGAGACACCCTCCATTACCTCTGGCAGGACTTTAACACCCAGTCACTGCTCAGTCCATGGTTTCTAGAGCAGGATGAGCCAGGACAACCTGGGATAGTAATGCCAGGCTGCACCTCAGCCCTTGCAAGACACAGTTATGAGAGGGGCTAAGCAGACGGGGGCAGGTGAGGTTCCGACAGCCTGCATATGCAGAAGGAAAAGGGAATTAGGTGCAGCACAGAACCTGCAATCTTTGCCACGAATTAGCAGCTAGAGTTGGGGGTTGCTCAGATGTTGCTCTTGTGGAGGCAAAGAGATGAAGGAGCCTTCCCTGTTATTCAGGACACACTGTGCACAGTCAGAGAGAGCACAATGAAGCCAGACGTGCTGTGGCTGTGCAGAGGAAACTGCTGGGTGTGAGCAGTAAATCAGGGCCTGCGCAGAGGCTGCAACGCACAGGCGGTAAATCACAGTGTGCTGTGGATGTGCAAAAGGCATTGGGAACAGGGAGACAGGGCATGAGGAGGGAGCCCCTCGGTCCCATACAGGCACAGGTTAGAGATTGCCACTGAATGGAAAAAAATGCAGCATGTGCACATTTATGGTGGGAATTAAGAGAAAGACTTACACTGTGCAGGTCATCAAGCTGAGCAGGATGAGAAGGGCAGAGAATGCCTGAGCACAACTACTGGCTGAGGACACACTGTGAATGCAGGAGGGGCTTCATGAGATCAGGGAGAAAAATGGAAAAGAGGGATTCAAACATATCTAGACTTTCATATTTTTCTGAGGTTTTCCTGAAGGAAACCTAGGTTCCAGGTAAAAAAGCAAATGGAGACAGACTTTATCATAGAGTGAAAATTAACTGGAGGCATCCAATCACTGGCTTAGGACAATTTTCAAACAGGACACCAAGAGCAAGTGAGTACTTTGAGAGGATGCTGGTAATGGTATTGAACGGACTGAGCAAGGGTGGTCTCCAAGACAGGAGCTGAATCTTACTCTTGGGTCAAACTTGTTGGTCTTTAGGAGAAGATTTGAAAGGATACATTCAGTTGGGCCATGTGTGTGCCATATGCACCGTGTATGCTATGTATGTGCTTCCCTGCACATTCCACTGTAGCCTGCCGGGATGAGGAACAAATTTCTCTCCTATGCTCTAAACTCCGGCATCTGAGCTGTTGGGTTATTTGACTCCTGCAGATTGCTGTGGTTGGAGGCAGAACATAGGGCACTGTGTTCTCAGGGATATTCAAGTAACTTAAGCATCCCTGCTTGGGCTGAGGTTTCAAACTAATCACTAGGCTTGGGCTTCAGGGAACTTCTCCAGGCCAGAGGGGCAGGAATGGGGCATGGATGACAGAGCACACCCTAAACACATCTAAGGTTTAACCCAGTCCCACAAAGATTGGTTGCTGTTGATTCTCTCCAGCTTCCAAGGTACTCAGGAGCATTAATGGCTTGTACTGGGACGGGTCATTTCAGGCTTGACACTAACTAGAGCACCCCATTTCCAGCAGGTGGGAGATATCAGGGACAGAGTTCAGCAAACACAGCCCAGTTTCTCAGCAGGGCAAGCTCCAATTCTGCCCTCAGTCAGTCTTGTATCCTTCTTAGTTGCCTCCATCCTGCAAGACTGTATCTTTTCATAGGATCACAGAATGGTTTGGGTTGGAAAGGACCTTAAAGGTCATCTGGTTCCACCCCCTGCCATGGGCAGGGACACCTTCCACTAGACCAGGTTGCTCCAAGCCCTGTCCAACCTGGCCCTGGACACTTCCATGGATGGGCCACCACAACTTCTCTGACCAACCTAGGCCAGGGCCTCCCCACCCTTACAGCCAACAATTTCTTCCCAATATCCCATCTAACCCTGCCCTTTGGCAGTGGGAAGCCATTTTCCCTTGTCCTGTCCCTCCAGGCCCTTGTCCAAAGTCCCTCTCCAGCTCTCAGACCCCCTGCAGGCACTGGAAGGGGCTCTAAGGTTTCTATGGAGCCTTCTCCTCTCCAGGCTGAACAGCCTCAAGTCTTTCAACCTATCTTCATAGGATACAGATCTCTGAGCATGATTTTGGTCAGGGAAGTCCAAGGGTAAGCACAGCTCCAAGCTGGCCCACAGCCAGCCAGAGCAGCATGAGCCAGCTCAGCCCTGACACTGTGTGTTCCCAGCAGTACTAATCCAATTAGAAAACAAACTTCCTTCCTTCATTACCAGGGCCTGCAGTATGTTAAACCAGCCTGCTGATTATGGAGGGCTTAGTGAGAGACTGGAGATCAGGCAATGAATGACAGGGCTGTTTCACTTGCCAGGAGGAAGGACAGAGGCAGTTGGGAGGACACGGGGCATTGCTGGGAAAAGTGGTTTCGGAATTGCTACAAACAAAGGCCTTTGGTCAGCCTTCACATTCCCAGCAGGGTTAACCTCAAAGCCACATCAGATTGCTCAGGCCCTTGTCCCTCCTGGGGATTAGCATCCTCATGAATGGGGATCCCTGTCACCTCTCTAGCCCTGCTGGATGGCTGCCCTCACCCACCCCACTCCCACACAACACTCACTTCAGTCACAGGATGGTAAAGGAAGCTCTAAAATACCCTTACAAGAGAGATTAAATATAAATTTTCTGGGGAGCTGCTGTTCAGCTCCCATCATCAAGGATGCAATGCACAACCCAGATCTGGAGTCATATATTTTCAGTGGCCAGGACAAAGGAAGGGGTTATTTCCCTTTATTTGGCATTGGTGAGGCCACACCTGGAAACTCTGACCAGTTTTGAACCCCAAGTACACGGAGACAGTCCTGGTGAGGATGGTCAAGGCCAGAGAACATCTTGTACGAGGAAGCACTTGAGGAATTTTGCTTCTTTAGCCTGGAGAAGAGAGGGCTGAGGAGGGATGCAGTTCACACAGTGAGGACCAAGAGCTGCTTTGCTGAAGCACTTGGACACACAGCTCAGCTTGCAGAGCAGTTCTGGGGTCCATGACCAGTTCTGGGGAGCTGCTGCAACGCACACAGTCTCACTCCTCTCATCCCTGTGCCTGACACGGATGCTCCTGGGATGGAGCCAGGCTGACGGGGCAGGATTTTACCGTAAGGCTATGAGCTTGCTGATACAGCCAGCACTGGCTGCTTTTTCCTAGAGGAAAAAGCCCCCCTCTACATGGAGAGGCTCTCCTGTGCCTCTATTGCCCAGCTGCACAGACACGAGAAGCCTCTGCCTCACCCAGCCACAGAGAAAGTAGAGTATCCCCTGGGAAGAGCTCCTTGCTGGAGCCATCACGTCACAGTGGGGCTGCTAAAGGACACTCAGGAAACCTTTTAAGTGCAGCATGGGCATCCAAGAGCACCTCCTCATATTTCTGCATCTCTAACCCTTCCTGTAGGCTCTGGGAGAAAAAACCCTCCTGCTGGAGTCACCTCTGTCCCTGCTGGACAAAATGCCTCCTTGGGATGATGGAGAGAGGCAGCCAGGGCTGCCAGCAGCCAAGTGGGCTGTAAGGAGACACCAGGAGCCTGACCAGCTTGATCTGCTGCCTTTTAAGGAGGGGGAGAAACTGAGGCATTTTGGAACAAGCCACCACAGCTCTGCAGGCTCTCAACCACGGGGTGCACTCACATACCACACTGGCCATGCCTGATGGTCCCCACAGCAGCTCCAAACTGTGAAGGGCAAGCCAGGACAGCCATCCCTCAGCTACAAATTGAGTCTGTAATATCCCAGAGCCCTGAATGGTCAAGCAGGCTTCCCGCTGCAGCTGCAGCGCCCACCCACGCAAGGTCCCTGTGGTCTTATTCATCACCTCTGTCCCCCCCCAGACAACCAGCAGGGCCAGCTTCTTCCTGGCAGCAGGCAGAGGGGAGAATGATCTTTTTCACAAGCCTTCATCAAGCCACTGCTAACTCATCCCACTGATGCCCAAGCCCTTTGCTCTGCTTGCAGAAAAGGTTTTGTTGGTCCAGCAGTGAATTTGCTGCTGCCATCCCCATTGAGGGAGCAGAGAGGAAAGGGAACGTGCTGCTGGGGAGTAGCAGTGGGATAGAGCTTAGGCTGACACAAGGATGGAGGAAATGTATATTTGTGGGTCCAGGAGCAATACCAGGAACAAGTTTAAAAGGCAAGGTATGCATGAAACAGTAAAGAACACCAGATAGAGCTTCAGCCAAAAAAAAGAGTAAGCTGGCTCAAAGACAAGGTGTCAGGAAGACAAAGAACAGGACCGGAGTCAGTAAATACTCAGAGGAAGAGATCAGAAAATCTGTGAAATTCAGGGATTTTGCCTCAGACTTACAATAGGTGAAAAAAAACAAGGAGCCAAAAGATCCTGAAGAGCACCCACTTCTGTAGGGAGTAATAGGCATATGCAAAATCAGCTCATCACTGCCCACAAAGGGTCTCAAAGACATCACAAGGGTGTGACCACCCTTGTCCCCTGTGTCTCCGAGGAGTCAGCTGATGGCTTAGGCACAGGGGGTCTCAAGTGCATGCAAAAGCACAGGAAAAATCACTTCACTTAGAGCTTTTTTGTAACAAAACGTCCCTCCCTGCCCTTTTGCCACACAGTTGCTCCACTCCAGGTGGGACGTGGGCACAGTTCCCGTGGAGCAGGAGGTGACCATGCGCTGCTTTATTAGGCAGTGGTGCTGCGTGTGCAGCCCAGGCCAGTCACTATTTACATTTGGCAAAGGATGGCATTGAGTACCAAGCACCTGTGCAGGTGAGGGCCAGCCTACCCAGCCCCCACCACGGCTCGACAGCCCCAGGCAGGCCCTGCTCACCCCCGCCAGCCTCCCTGCCCACAGGCACAGCCATTTTGTCTCTCACAGGCAGTGCCAGCCACCCTCCCAGAGGCACCTCAGGCCTGCTACCAGATATCTATCCCCGTATTCGCACCCACTGCCCTCTTCCCCGGGTTTTTCCAGGCCCCAGCTCCAGTCCTTGTGTTTTGAGCTCTGCCTGGAGGCAGGTGATGGCAGCAGGCAGCTGGCGAGCCCCACTAAGCTCCTTCCAAAGGAGGTCCCTCCAGTGCCATGCCAGTGGGAAAACCAGCACACGGGAGCCCTCTGAGAGAGCAGGACAAGAGGTCCGGCTGCAGCAATCCCCCAACGGTGCTGGCCGTGCCCAGTGAGCTGCTCGTGGGCCAATGGTCTGGAGCCCGTCCTTGGCATGGCAGCGCTCGGCCCTGCAGATGGGCTGGTTTTGGGTACACCCAGCCTTGAGCCTGGCTCGTAGGGGGTGAGTACTATAGGGTACGGATTGCCACCGGGTAAAGCAAGGACATGTGCTCGGCCCCCTTGATGGGCAGCTTGCGGCTGGCGTAGTGATGGATGATCTCCGGCACGCTGTCGAAGGGCGGGCTGTGCTGACCCAGCACGTACTTGTTCTCCTGGGTCCGGGACAGTTTCATGTGCATGAAACCCTGGCTGCTCCTGCAAGGGCAGATCAAGGCAGGGTTAGGGGGTACAGCTGGCCCAAGCCTCCCCTCAGCTCCTGACCCCCTTACCTGAGACAGGCAGCCTGCCCCTGCAGCTGAGGGGGACACTGCTGGCTCCTGTCCCCACACAGTTGGGTGTGTGGGGTCCATGTAGGGGTGCCAAGGCTGAGGAGGTGTGTGTGGGTAGGTAAGTGAGGGCATCACCTGGGCAGGACCAACAGCGGCTCTCACTGCAGGTTGACATAGGGGTAGCAGCTTTCACCCTTCACATGTGGAAAAACTCCTTTTACAACCACTCTGGCTCACACAGAACCCCTTCAGCTCACAGATCTCCAGCCTCACTGTGGCAAACCAGGATTTTCTCCTTCAGCCAGCAGCCAAAGGATTTTCTCCTTCTCCCCCTCCCCACACCACTGCTGCAGGCTCCATAAAACCCGCTCAGCGTAGCAAGGCCATTTCCCGGCACAGCACAGGCACTGAGCCACACCAGGCTGTGCAGGCAGATCCTGCCATGATTCCAAGTGATGGGCTAATGGCCCTGTTGCTATTAATTTGCGTCTCTGAGGAGAGCCACAGCCTGTCTGCAGCGTCTGGAATGCATATTACAGCAAAATATTGATGACTTAAAAGCAGACAGGGCCTCATCAGCAATGCCGAGCCTGCATCAGGCTTCCAGCGCTGTACAGCCTGGCCCCATCCCCCTGGCTGGAGACGGGTGTAATGGACAGCCTGGCTGCATTAGCAGGATGGGTTTGCAATCTATTTAGAGACAGAAGCAAGGAGCCAGCTGTCCCAGGGGATGGCAGAGTGGACAGCCACAGCATCCCATCAGGGGCCAAGGAAAAGCGATAGCTTGGCTGCATCTGGAGTGCTGCCACACGGGACCATGCAGAGGTGATGCCAGTTGTGTTTTGCCCAAATTGCTCCACAGGTATTTGTCATAAGCTCAGGGATGTGGAAAGCACATCCCTGCAGAGAAGCCTGAGGGAATACACTGCAAACCCCAGCAGACAGGGCAAGGGGCAAGTGCTGCTCCTGCTTGGCACCTTGGAGACATGAGAAAGGACCCCACCTTTGCAGTGTGGACTCAGCCACTCTCATGGAAGCATAGGCCAGGAGGGAATCATCCTCCAAGCATCTAAGGCAATGACATAACCCTGTCCATGACAGGCAGTGTGGGGCTGCCTAGCCTGGATCAGCCAGGACTGTTACAGCAGGGTTAAGTCCTTCCGGCTGCCTGACCTGCTCCTGCTGCTCTCTCTTGTGCATATTTTTCTTTCAATCAGCACAAAAGAGCTTCAGGTTAGCATCAGGAGCTCTTTTCAGACCATTTCCTCAGCTGTGCCTCCTTACGCAAGGAGAAAAAAGAAAAGTTAAAAAAAAAATAGAGCTGCAGACAGCCAGCTTACAGCTACATAAAAAGCATCCCAGGGGATATTCTTTGAACGGACTCTACAGAAACAGGCAGTGAAGTAAAAATCGTGCTCCTGAGGCTGTGGGCAAGGACAGGCAATGCCCAAATAACTCCTGGATAACTCGGGGGAGATGGCACACAGATGCACAGCCACATCCTAGCCACATATACCACCTGAGAGGAGGATTTTGCCACAAGACTAAGGATGGGTGGCAAGAAGTAAGCAGAAAACCACCAATAAATGGGCGACTGGCCTGTGGAGAGGTTGGCCTGTGATGGAAAGCCACTTTTGGTGATGGAATGCCACCTCCCAGGGTCTCCAATACACATGCTGGCTAATGCCACTCACAAAGGGATGGTGAGACCTCTCGCAGCCTCAAATACAGCTCACCAACCAGAAGAAGCTGTTGCTCCAAAATGGCTCACAAGCCAGAGCAAGGAAAAAACGTTGAGAAAATTAAAACATCGATGAAAATTCTGACATAAAAAAAGGAAAGGAGGGAGCTTTCCTGGAAAGGTTTGTTGGCTGATCTGAAAGCTCCGAGTGCAGAAGGAAGAAAGAATACTTTCAGCAGAACTTCCGCCCTGTTTTGGTGTGAAAGGTGGCAAAAAGAGTGAAACAAAAAAAATATGGAGAGAGACAGAGCAATGTAATTCACAGTTGTGCCACTGGGAAATAAACAGGGAGGCTGAAAGCCCTGGGGAACAATGAAGGTAAGAGAGACCTCTGGGGAAACTCGAAGTATATTGAGAAAAGCACAGGAATACAAGGCCTGTTGTTGGGCAGAGATGGCTGAAGTGCTCCATAAATACTTGTTTCCCATCTGGCAGAACAGAGATGGCTGGCCAGCAGAAGGGCAAGAAGGTATTTGCTCATCCATCATCATCTTCAGACAGTAACAGCTTTGATTTTGTGGGTTTGTGCTGCCCCAGGAGCTAGGAAAGAGATGGATGAGGAGCTGCAGCAATGCTTCATGCAATTTTGGCATTCGGGGAATCTGGAAAAATTGGGGAGGATGTGAAGAACTCCAAAAAAACCCCAAGCAGAAACCAAGCCATGCTGTGGGGATGAGGTGTCCCTGTTGGCAAACCAGAGCAGGGAAAAGCCCCCCTCTCTACAATGTGGCTGAGCAATGGCTTCAAAGAATCCATGGGCTGGGGAGGCAGGGATGGGTACCCACATATACATCAACAATGGGATCGCACGAACTTTCTTTTCCCATGAAACTAAGCTACCAAAAAAGGGGAAAAAGAAGGCAAAGCTGGAAGTGGTAATCAGACACATTTAAGTGAGCACTGAGGCAGATCGTTTGATTCATCTGAAGGACTACTAGCACTGCCAAGGAAAAGCAGTGGGCCTCCAGATCTCCATGCCTTCCCGAGAGATGCTTTTGCCAGACACCAAAACAGAAGCCTGTGCCACACCACAGAAAGGTGTGGACTTCATGTTCCACCCATTTCTGACCACCTGTGGTTGAGATTACTCAATCATCATGGGCACAAGTTTACTTGAGGCACCCACCCACACCACCGGGTCACCCCTGCTGTGGGTCCATGACCCCTCAGCCCCTGCTCACTCACTTCAAGGAGAGGGAGAAGTCGTTCTTGCTGGTCTCGCTGTTGCGCACCAGGTAACTGGCCTCCTTGCACAGCCTCAGCAGAGTCTCCGCATCTGTCCGGCTGATGGCCCCATGGTACCAGCTGGAGCGGGGAGAGGGATCAGCTGTGCCAGGCACAGAGCAGACACCCCAGGAAGGGTGCCCTGGGAAAGCAGCAATGCCAGCACCCCAGGGACAGAGTGGGATGGAGGTGGCACCACTGGGGTTGGGGGACAAGGGAAAGGGACAAACAGGCAGAAATGTGGTGCCAGGGAAGAAAGGAAGAAGCAGGTCTCCCCCAGGGCTCCTCATGGATCCACAGGTATCCATGAGGCAGGTGGAGGGGTCAGGCAGCCACCTGGGGCAGGCAGGACTCACCACTGACTCTCCAAGGGCAGGGCAGGGTCAATCCTCTCCCCAGCATAGGGGCCTGGCTCAGCCATCAGCGTCTTCGTGCTCTTGAGGCTGCTGGGGCCGTGTCTGAGGGCAGCCCTGGCCTTCTCCTCCCTGCAGGACGACGTGCAGCTGTAGCCCAGCCCCTCGGAGGGACCTGCAAGACAGACCCCTGTCACAGCTGGGGCAGGGACAGGCGGACAGGCCGGGTCCCAGCTTTCCCCCTGTGGGAAGAGCCAGAGACAGGTTATATCACACTGGATTCCCTCACAGTGCCCCCATCCCCTTTTTCTAAGCAAGGGAAGGGCAGCTCTTGGGCTGCTGCTCACTGCAGTGCCCAGGCTGGGTGCCCACCACACCAAGCCTGGGGCCAGGGTATGAGCCCATGGAAAATATTTCCAGAGAGGTTTCAAAAGCTCAGGAGGTTTTGCTAATGCAACCATAGATTCAGCACCTGTGGCACAGAACTAAGTGAGATGCAGCAAGAAGAGGCTCCCCAGTTTTCGGGAGAAAAATTTAAAAAAAAAGAGGAGGGGATAGATGGAGCTAAAGGGAGCAGTCGGTTTGGAACTGATGGACACATTTCTGCTGGCACAAGAAAAGCTGTGGTGAGAAAACAATTTCCTGAGGTGGGAAGGGGATATTTTGACTGCAGGGACCTCTCTGATGCAGCCACCTGCCTGGCACCAGCCCAGCCACAGACCCTGTGTACCAGTGCCAGCGAGTATAAGGGACTGACCATGCCCTGGGGACAAGCCTCCTGTTGCCTGTTATTTCCACACAGGATGCTTTCAGCATTATCGATATTGTTTCTCCCTCCTCACAAGAGTTCATTATTGCTCCCCTGCACCGCCAGCCCCCTCGCACAAATTACTTATTGATTGGGCAGAGCTGCCTCGGTGTGGGGCTGCGGGGGGTTGATGCTGTAGCAGCACAGTCACCCTGCAAGTGGCCAAGCCCAGGAGCTGCAGCTCCCAGGACAACTGGGATGTCCCAGACTGGATAACTTCCCTCCTCCCCATGCTTCCTGGCTGCTGGAGGAAGAGGTAAAAAATACCCTGAGAGGGATGTTTTCCTCTCTAGCATCTTCTAAGGTGGATGTTTGAGGGACACCTTGTCTGGGCCCTATGCAGGTGAGCAGGACTCCACCTCCCCAGCACTGAGAGGAGGGGAAGGCAGCCAAAAGCAAACTCAGCCAAAATCCTCTGAAGCTTAGCACGGCTTAAACCCCCCCTGAGCAGCAGCTCTGGGAGGAGGTGGTGCCCAGCATTAAGGCTTGACAAGCACTGCCTCTGCAGTGCTCTGGCTTTTCACAGGCCACATTCACCCTCATACATCACACCTTGGCTTCAATTTCAACTCATCACCTTAAAAAATTGGGGCAATCGCTAAAAAGTCAGACAATCAAACAGCCCAAGTGTTTGCTGGCGGCACAAAGTCATTGTGTTACAGGCTCAGAAGAAATGCATTGCACCTGTCAGAGGGAGGCAGAGGCATGTGCATGATTAAACAGGATATTAAAAACAAGGCCTTAGGAGGAAGAAGACATCCTTCAAGACATTCAAGTCACCCCCAGACAGGGGAAGTAGAAAATGAGACAGAACTCTGGCAAGATAAACTTAACACAACAAAGCAAGGCAAGTCAGGGGGAAAAAAAAAAGAGACTCTGTGTTGCTAAACCCAGGAAAAATGACAAACTGATGTGTTCATCAGGAGCAAAATGCACGTCAGAGCAACTGTGGGGATAATAAATGACGGAGGAAGAGAAGAGGCTGCATAGCAAAGAGATTAATTTTTCTTGACACCTGCCTTAACCGCAGGAAGAGAATCAGGAAGTTCCCACCTGCCAAGACCTTTCTTGTTCAGGAATGATCTCAGCCTGCAGCATCCCTACGGATTAGGGAAATACCCTACACAGCCCTGGCACAGCGGCCACTTTGCTCTGGAGTGTTCCTACTATCAGCAGCAAAATCAGCTGTCACCTGCAGCCTCATGCTCAAACCCACCTGGGAGGCAGCAAAGGCCATACTGGTTTTATTCTACAGAGCTCTGCAGAGATCTGGGCAACTGCAGATAAGGAAATCAGCCATCGGCACCTGGCACATTGCAGTGCCCACCAGGACAGCGTTAGTGACGCATGGGCAGGCACAGCACGCTGCTGCAGAGAACGGCACGCCTCGTGTCCCAGCTCCTCCCAGTAACAACCCAGTCGTGCCTTTCAGCACACTGCCCCCACCTAATGCTCTTGGCAAAATCCTAATCCACCACAGCATAAGAGCAAGGTCTTTAAAATATTAATAAAGGGTTAAAAGAGAAGCAGCAATATTTGGCTTTCATAAGCGAGGCTGCCAGCAGTGTCCAAGGGGGATTTACTCAGGGGCTCTGTGCTCAGTACACACAAAAAAGGCTTCACAAGGCAAACCTGAGATGACAAAGTGTAGCTGGGAGATTTGGCTGCTCAGGATAGCAAAAGTGAGAGCGGAAAATCCAGAGGGACCTCCTGCCACTGAGCAGCAAGGTAATAAAACAGCAGAGGAAACAGAGCAGTGCTAAATGATGAAGAGGGAAAAAACCAGCCCCAACTTCAGCGCACTGGGACCTGAATTAGCTGCTAGCACACCTCTAAGGGACCTGGGCATTATGAGTTGCAAGAAAACATCAGCTAAATGCTCAGAATAGTTGTCAAGACGACCATAAAGGTGGCCATCAAACACTGGGAATTTGGAGGCAAAGAGGGGAAAACAAAAGAGATAGTATTAACTCTGCCACCAAATAATTCCCTGCTGTGAGCAAAGAGGCACAGTGGAGCTGGAGAAGGTGCAGGACAGGCAAGGACAAACATCCAGTGTCCAGCACAGGACAACTGAAGGGGCCAGGAAGGGCTGGGGAAGAGCAGAGGAGGAGGGTGGGCATCTCACAGTGCCCTGGGCAAGCTCTGAGGCGTGGCAGCAAGGCAGGGTCACAGTAAGTGCCAGCGCAGTCTCCCCAGACACCCCCCTGTCACGCAAGACCCACCATTGGTGTCTTCATAGCTGTGCTGGCTGTGCTGTGGAGGGACAGGGGCACCGGCTTCACCGTCGGGGGGGCTTTCACCACTGTCCAGCTGTCCCACCGGTGGGGGCCACGGCAGGTCTTTAATGACCTTGATTTCAACTAGATTGGGGGCAGGAGGGGGAGGTTGTGGGAAAGAGAAAGAGAGAAAGAAAGGGCTTAGAAAAAACCATCAGCAACACGAGAGGGCCCATGGAGAAGAAGAGCAGTTGTGGGGGAAAAATCTAAATTCCCAGGAGCCCCATGTCAGCTTGGCCATCTCATACCCTTCACAGCACCAAGCAGGGACAAGCCTGAGGCAGGGCACATGCCTGATGGAGGGACTCTGCTCCTCCGTCAGCTTTTCCAGCTGTCTCTAGGGTGTGGGAGAGGCTGTGACCACCCTGTTAAATGTACGTGCCCCTCTGGGGGACCCTGGCCAAGCATCCCATTACCGTCTGTCCTGCCCATGCATTCATCTTGCCCTGGGGGCTTCCCAGCCACCCGCATGATCCACATTTCCCTGCCAGGTACCAATGGGTTGCAGCCTTGTTCCAGTACCAGCTGTCCATCAGCAGGGGTCCCATGGGTCCCCCAAAAGGGGAATGGGTCAGCAGAGAGATTTTGGCATCACAGGAGGGGAAAAACATCCTCCAAGATCCATCAGGACCTGCTCTGGCTTCAGGAAAAAACAGGCAGCAGGTCCCAGCATGGTCTAGGGCATGGCAATCTGACTCCCTCAGGACTTGGAGCAAGGCCTGAAGCATCCTGGACAGTGCTCATGTGCATCCACATGTGAGCCAGACCTGAGAACACATCACTTCCACCCAGGGACATCAAGCAAGGTGGCTCATGTGCCCAGATGTGGGGCACAGACACCTCAGCACAAACCCAGCCCAGCAGCGCACCATGTTCCATGATGGAGCCCAACAAGCCGAATCCTTGGCAAAGCAACCCCAGGAACAAGTAGACACTACACCATCGAACCCAGCACATCTCCAGCTCACAGTGCTCAAACCCAAAAGGTGAACCACTCCCTGAGACCAAACCTCCACATCTCTCTGCCAGCATCTCCACACAGCATTGCCAGTGCGAGTGCCCTGTGTGCCAGCTGCAGCAGAGACACACACAGTGCTGCAATTAAAATGCATCCTAGATAAGAGCGTGGCAATTAGCCAGCACTAGTGGAGGAGCCAGCACTAATGCACAGCATGGATTTCCTCATTACCAAACACAAACACAATCGATCCCTCAGCATGGATAAATAGGTCAGGGAGGCTGGACAAAGTCTGGTCGAAAGCTCCTTGGGGATCCTCCTGCCCCAGGAAGGAGGGATCTGCTTGAGCCCAGGGCCGAGCCTCTCCCCTGCAATCCAGGGTTGGGGGGGTTAATTTGCACCAAAGGCTGTGATCAATCAGAGCAGGGAAGAGGCAAAGGGAGCCAAGGCAGTCCTATCCATCACTCTGTCCAGCCTGGCTCCCTGCTCAGAGAAACAGCTTCTACAAGAGCACGAGCACTCCCTGAGCCACAGAAATGCAGATACCAACACTACTGATCCCCAGACGATGAAAGAACCCCAAGAATCCAGCTTCACAGAAAGTTGGTTGCTTTATGGCTGCTCCCATCACTCACCTGCGAAGGCTTTGGAGATCCGCTCCTTCTTCCACTCCCAGGGCTGGTCATACTCCTCTGGAGGCCTCTCGTCATCCTCAGGCAGCCGGGACTCCCTGGGCCGGGGGCAGGTCGGGCGCTCACTGTCCATGTCTAGCACAGGCTCGTAGGGAGTGTCATAGAGGTGCAGCGGCTGGGCAGGAGCCTCCCGTAAGCCTTTCTGGCGGATCTCTGGCAGCAGAAGAGGGAAAAGACCATTTGCTTTCTGCCCAACATAGCCTGGCCACAGACCCCAAAGCCCAGCTAAATGACAGGACGCAATGTCACCCAGAGGTGAAATGGGATAGGAAGTGTCAGCGATAGAGGAGACTCCCCCCAAACCTTCAGCAAGCACCTGCCAAAAGCAGGGGAACTGCTGGGCAGCCAGGGCCTGAGCAATTCACAGCACTAAGATCTCCATGGTACAACATCATTCTCACTCCTGGGCAGCCCTACAAAACGGGATCCATGGGGACAGAGCATCCCATGCCTGATTTCCTGCAAGCAGCTAGGCCGGGTTTCTCCCCTAGACACCCAGTGCGGGTGGTTTAATAAAATGCCCTTCCTTCAAGAAAAACAAAGTCTCTCCCACAGGCACAAGCAGCCTCTTCACTGCTTGCTGACTTTTCCAAGAAATACAACGGTCTACTCCAAAAAGCCACATGAGCTTTCCAGACACCACTTTCTCTAGGAAAACCATAGAACTGCAAAGAAGAGCCAGAGCCTGTGCCTGAGCAAAGCCTGGAGTGCACAAGCCAGCATGATGACACTGAGTGCTGCCTTCAGGAGCACACACTCCCACCTCACTGGCTTCCCAGCCCTAAATATGCCCACTGAGGACCCTGCTGCTGCAGCAGACACAGCATGCTCTGGCCCAGTCCTAACAGAATTAAATAGCTCCCATATCCATCTTAGTTTTAAGCCAGATGCACAGAATATCAGGTCTCTCCTGGCTCAGCCTGGCAAGTGGGGTCTCAGGGGGCAGCATCGCAGGGAGAGATGTGTCTGTACAGCCCAGGCAGCTTTTGAATGCTGTGGCTCTGCCAAACCCAGTGCACATGAATAAAACTGGGAAAATCTGCCTACGAAGTGGCTGTTCCCCATCCCAGTGATTGCCCAGGCTTGCTGTATCTAGGACGGACCTGGTGCTGTCACAGGCTGCAAGGAACAGAGTACAGTGACCACTAAACTGAGAGAGTTTGCATGACCAGAGAGGTGCAAAGCGTGGCCTTTGCATGGAGCCTTCCACCTTACCAGCCATCATCTTCTGGGCTTCATATGGCTCCATATATCCATCATTCTCGGTCACCTTCTCCAGCCCTGCCTGGCTACCTGCCACCTGTGCCGCATCAAAGGGATCTGCGTAGTCCTCCAGGACAGCCACCTGCAAGAGGGGAAGGATGGGAGAGGGGTTAGGACAGTCCCTGACTTTTTTGGGGGGTGTAGGGAGCTCACCATGAGCTCTGCTAGCAGCAGTCAAAGCGGCTGCCGGGAGCCCAAACCCGCATCATGGCAGCCCCCCAGAGCAGGTGTTGGCAGCTGACAGCTTTCCAGGCACCGGCACTCAGCCGTGGAAATTCTCCAGCCTTTGTCCCGAAAGCTGGGATGGAGCCAAGCGGAGCAGAAGGTGGCCTGGCCCCCTCCCTCATGATGGGGCTCAGCACTCGCAGTGCCCACACAGACACCCCGCTGGGTCCTGGTGAGGCACTGGCCTGCTAGCGGGGCCGTACCCCCTATAGCACACAGATGCTCTACCTGCACACAGCCATATTTCCTCTCACAAGGTGGAGAAGGGGTGCAGATCCCAGAACGAGTGTGTCAGCTGGTACTGGCACAACTGGGAACTCACTGGTTGTTTTCCAGGGCTCCTGTGGGTGCTTTTGAAGGTTTTCTGACAAAAGGGCTAAGAATAGCTTATAGCTTCCTCTCTGCTCTTTCCGAGGCCCCAGCTGTACATCCCACCTCCAGCCCCAAAGCCTGCTCCCAAGACGTGGCCAGGCAATATTTCCAACAGCATCCAAGTGCACCCAAGCACCTAGTCCACCAGGATGCAAACCCCCAGCTTAGGGGCCAGTTTGTTACCACAGCACAGATGTAGATGTCCCACAGTAACAACCAAATGTCCCCAGCACAGCCTGGCGGCTGGTGGGATTACCACCCAGTGCTAGGCTCCATCCTCACTGCCATGCTGCCACTGTTCCTGGACAGCCTTGGAGAGATCAAGGCTGCTCACACATTCCTCTGCAGCTCCAATAATCGGCTTAAAACAAAACACTTCTCCCTCCTTCCTGTGCAAAACGCCCAACAATAGCCTGTAGCAGCAAAACCCAGCAGGAAAAGGGAACAGGAACTGGAGCTGTAAACACCTCCATGCAGCCTCGAGCCTTTGCATCCCTATGATCTGTAGGAGGAACATGAGTCTCTGTGCCCAGCTCACCACCTCCTCCCTAAACATCCCAGCTCCCTGGGCAGCCAATGCAGTGGGGACCTGGATCAGCCCTCCAAGTCTGGTCCATCCATACTGGGGCACAAGCAAGCAGATCATCCCCAGAGCACATCCCACCAGCTACAGGGGTCACAGCCACTCCAGGCAAGCAGAACAGGGGGCCAGCAGATGCTCTCACCTCATGGTAAGGCAGCAGCAGGACAGATGGCTGCTAGGGATACCAGCTCTACCCGAGCCACAGCCTGGTGCCAGCGAGCTGGGACAAGGCTGCAGGAGCAGCTAGCCCCTGGCTTTGCAGCAGGAGACAGGCAATCTGCTCTCACCTTCATCATCTGAGGGATGACGTGGCATCGCTCAGGCCCTACCAAGCACCAGGGACACCAAGGGGCAATGCTGATCCCAGGGGGCTGCAGCCCTTTGCTTGCCACCACCGGGGCAAAACCCCACAGGGAAATGCAAGTTGCTCGTAACTTTTGCAGCTATTTGGTCATCAGGATCTGCTTCCCACCTGCTGCCTGTGAGATCCCAAAGGCAGATCAGCAGTGCTGCTCCAAACACCTGGGAGGTCCATGGGCTTCTCCCACACCTTGAAAACTGCAAAGAGGCTCTCTCTGTGCCACATCTGTGGAGCACAGTCCAGTGCCGATGACATCACCTTCACATAGATGCTCATGCCAAGCGAGCTCATGTAGTGAGCCCCAGCCTCACTACACATACAAATCCCCTAAAATGGCTCAACAGGCAAGGTGGGCAAACAGGCAGGACCATGCCTGACACTCACCCTTTGCAGAGAGCTCTCATGGCTTCAAGTGTGCTGGGGGCTGCGAAATGCAGTTTGTTGACCCTTCTGGGTTCAGAAAGGGGTTAGCTGTCCATTCCTCCAGCCCCAGGCCCAAACTGCTCACATTCAAACCTGCCATGAACCCCATTTCCTAGATGCATTTTGCTAGACTCGGCTGGCTGCTGGTGCCAGTCCTGGACCCTCGCTCTGCCCCAAAGCACAGAGCAGCTTCAGGCAAGACAAGCCTGAGAGGTTCCCCTGCTTGCAGTAATTTCTCTGTCATAGAATCATTAAGGTTGGAAAAGGCCTCCAAGATCATCAAGCCCAACCTTATTTCCAAGCATATTCCTTCAGCATTTGGGTCTGACTTCTCATAGTAGGAATACACGAGCTTCAGCTAAGCTCACGGAGTGGCCCCCACTCAGATGCCTCCAGGTCTAGAAAGCAAAGGATGGTAGAGAATCCTAACACGTCTCTGTCAAGACCCCTGTATTTTGCTCACAGAGGGATTCAAAGGCACTCAGCAGAGACTAAACAGGCTCTGCTGGTAGAGAATGTGGTTTGCTGGGCCTACCTCGGACCCAGAGCAAGTGGCTCACTGTCTCAAGGATGCCACTTTGTAGGAGTGAGGTCTCCCATCTGTAGCATGCTGAGAACATAAACCCACTTGTTTTTTAAATGGTCAGATATTTTAGCAAAAAGCCACAGAAAAGGTGGGGAGGCAATTCCTGTCTCCAGGAGCATCACAACCTCGGTATGCACAAGCAAGCACATGAGAACTGGTACCATGAGCCCCAAGGCGGAGGGGCTGGAGGTTCCAGCCAGTGCCAGGAATGGGGCAAACAGCAGGGATCACACCATTACTGGGTGCATCCTAATGCCCTTGCACATGGTGCCGAATTAGGGTTGCCCAGGAAACTGCATCTCTGACGTTTCCTAATCCTAAGCATGCATGGCTCTCAGCAGCAGCCACAGGACACACAGCTGCTCCCCAACACAGGAGAGGGCCACAGCCGCTGGCAGAGCAGCTCGCAGGGGTGCCCCAGGCTCCTCCACTTCGATCAAAGGCACTTCCATGCTTTGCTCGTGTCCCATGTCACAGAGGATGCTGCTCACCACCTGCTGATCCTAGCGCCTAGGTACAGAGGCATCGCCTGCTAATACACAGCACAAGCTTTGCAAGATTGGAAATAATTTGGGTGCAAAGCAAAAGACCAACATGCAAAGCCACCACCCCAGGGCAGCTCTTGGTGCAGACCAGTCCTTCAGGGAGCAGCTGGGAACTGCTGGCACCTGGACACATGTCCTGCTTGAGCATAGGAGTGTTTTTCAAACCATGTGTTATCTGCCATAGAGTGCTATCTGCCCAGAGTGCTATCTGCCATGGCAATGCACACCCAGATCCCTGTTGCAGCTCTGAGGCTGGTCTCACTCTATTATTTATGCCAACTGTAAGAAAAAAAAAAATCAAATTCAAATTAAGGTGAAGAACCAGATCATCACTGGGCTCTCGCAGTCAAACGGCTACAGTAAAAGGAAACAGACCAAAGCTCTCCAAGAGCGTTCACAGTTCAAACACCAGGATCCCCGGGCAGAGCTGGGGCTCTTCACCCCATCTTGCCTAGAAACATTCTGCCATAAGATGCTCCACTCTATAAAGAGTTTCCCAGAGAATACCTTGGGAGATCCTTCACTTTAAAAACAAGTTTCTTGCCCTGGAGATAAAGTACATTTGGGGTTCCCTCAGGAGATTGCTGGCTTTAACCAAATTCAGTTCATTCTGTCAGGTGCAAAATTCCCCCAGTTATACCCATCTGGCAGCTTGGCTTTCGGTAGGGACCGAAGCCAAACCCAAAAGTAAACACAGCACCAGCTTCAAGAAGGGTCTGGTCTGCAACCCACAGGGCACGGCTGGGCCAGGCAGGGAGCCCACGGCTGCACTCGTGGCATGGGAGGAGTGAGCAGGGGGTGGACAGCACAGCATCGCATAAGATGACTCAGTTCAAGGAGGCTCTCACAGGAAAGACACACGCCCAGGAGCTTCCTGGTCAGCCGTTCCCACACCCTGCGGCACTGACCCTGCGTTCACAGCCAGAATGGCAGCTACTGGTCCTGGCAGACACAGGACAAAGATGTCCCCAGGCAGATCCTCAACACCATCCTCAAGCATGCTGTGCCCTAGGTTCAGGTGTCCACATGCAAGAAGGTCCCTCATTGCATCTCTCCCCACTGCATCCCAGTGCTCCTTGCACCTAATCCAAACAGGGCAGAGAAGACACCTTCAGGGCATCCATCTGGCTCAGGTGAACCACACAGGGCCAGTCTACTGTCCACTCTGTGGGGAAACGCCTGGCAGACCTGGAAAAGGACCTGTGCTGCTCCCCAGCAGGGTTTGGAACACAGCAGGAGCCATTGCAGAGCTCACTCTTAGGTGTCCCCACAAGATGCTGCAGATCCCACACAAGGTGGAAAGATGTGCCGGCTCATGCTACAGCAGCAAAGCATCATGCAGCCCAGACAGAAAGGATGCCACTGCCAAGATGTTCCTACCCCGTCTTCCATTCTCAGGGTCATGCCAGCTACAGCGAGCACAGGACTCCCATGGAATGTGGTCAGCCCCCAGCCTCAACCTAGTGCCTGTACTCCAAACCACACAGCCTCAGCCAAATCACAAAACGAGGAACCTTCCACTTCTGTCCATCCTCATCATCCCCTCTCAAAAGGGCTGCATATTTTATTAGAGTGATTTTCATCATCAATCATTAACAAAAACCCTCTCTGCTCCGGCAGCCTAGCCTGTACCCAGAATTATACTTCTCTGTCATCTCCAGTTCACCACAATCCAAGGCTCACACCTGTGGGTCTAGAGTCCCAGTAGGCAGGGAGCAGTGCCCACTGCCTCTTCCTTATAGGTGTGGGAGCACTGATCCCCCTGTACAACCATCACCTCAGCAGAGGCTCCAGCCCAGCTCCAGCATCCTTTCCCTGCTCCAGAACACCTTGACATCACCAAGAACAAGGGTCACTAGCAGCAGTAACCTTCCAGCAGGCACCTCCATCCTCCTGTACCACCTCCAGGAAGAGCCACCATGACGTTGGAGCAGCTGAGGAACCCTCTCTCCGCTCAGCCCAGCACCAAGGCCAGCAGATGGGAGCTGCAAAGGGCATTCTGGCCCAATAGAGATGCTCCATGTGGTGGATGCTCCCTGGCTCCTCCAGAGAAACTATCTTAACAGACAGCTGCAGGCACTGTCAGCACTACAGCTTCACTCAGCCTCTGGAGCTCTGCCTGTGTCCATCATGTGCCAGGAAACCTCTTCCCGAGAGAGGCACGCAGGAGACCAGCAGTAATCTAATCACCATCTATCTTGGACAAGATCAAGGATCTTCTTCAGCCTAGCACTGTTAGCAGGGTTTCCCCAAATGTATCCCAGCATACGAGTTTTCTCTAAACTTTCCAGATTCTGCCCAGCCTTTGGATGCCTGAACAGCCTGGCTGTACCTGTCAGCAGTCCCTGCTTCCTGCAGCTCCTGCTCACCCCTTTGCACATCACAGCCTGAGTCCTTCCTATGACAATCACCCGCTCCCACTCCCTCTGATCCCTCAATGCCTGTTCCAGAGGAAAAGCCATTCCAACTCAGCAAACCACAGCACCACAGTGGCATTTCGGGTCCCTGCTGTCAGAGCTCCCCCCACCCCTTCTGCTGCCCACAGCAACCAGTTTACAAAGCTCAAAAGGAGGGCTCTGCTGGGCCCCTCTGGAAACCTCCCAAAAGCAATTAGTCAGTACGATCAACTTTCAAGGATCCACCAGCAACAAGTTTTTCTATCTGCTTAAAACACTCCCGAGCAGATTTTGCACGGTGCTCATTTCACCAGGACCACGGATGGGATCACTGAGTGTATCCACCATTCCCTCCACCAGCCAGCCAGCCAGCCAGCCAGCCAGCCAGCCAGCCAGATCCGCAATCCCGTCGAGTTCGCCTGACAAGCCCCGTCTTGCAGGCGGCAGCGCTAGCGGGCACTAATTACCCCTCCTGCTTTTATTTGCGCAGTCCCTGCACCAGCCTCTCCGCCAAAAGGCTCGGCACCAACGGCCGCAGCCCCGGCTGGGTTTATTCCCTACCAGGTCCTTGTGCCACTCACAGCCTGTCTCCCCACGGGAATCTTCTCCTAGTCTCCTGCCTCTCATCGGGAATGTTCCTGGCCTCCTTGCCAGCACCGGGAGCGTCAGGCTCTGCTCTCGCCCCGGAGCAGCCGGCGGAGAGGCGGCAGACAAAGAGGCGCTGACGCTCCCTGACAAAGCAGCTCGGCAGCTCAGGGGGCCCAGCGGCCGCCGTTGGCACTGGGAGCCCGGGCAGGGGGCACAGGGAGACCCGCACCACCGGGCACGGAGCGCTGGGAGGTCCTGGGTCACCGGCCCCAGCATGGGAGGGCACTGCAGACAGTCCTGTGCCGCTCGGGGCCTTCCCAGGCTGGAAGATCTTCACCTCCGTAGAGCACCAAGCACTTGGCTGCAAAGAAACGGCACGAAAGGAGGGCGAAGGTGGCCGGCAACTCCGCGCTCTCGCCCCTCGGAGAGCGCGCTGCTGGGGCTCGTACCTGCCTCCCGCGGCAGCCGCAGGAGGATCCGGGGCCGCCCCCGTCCCCGCTGACGTATGCCTGGCATGTCGGTACTGCCAGGGCACGGGGGAACGCGGCACGGGAGCCCCGCGGAGCCTGGCCGTGACACCGCACCCCGCTCGGTGCTCGAGGATCCTAACCTGCTCCTTACTGTGGATGCGAGCGGTCTGGCGGGACCACCGTGGGCATCTTCATGAGTGGGGCGCTCCACCTGCCCTGGGGGTCCTGCTCCTGCTCCTCACGGCGGGGTCACCCAGAGCATCCCCTGTGCCAGCAAACCACGGGGAGGGCGGCGGGGCGCCCATGCCCGGTCACTTACCTCCTGAGACGGCTCGTCGGGCGGCTCGGGGCCGGCCGGGGGTGAGCTGGGGGCGGCGGGCACCAGCGGCGGCGGGGGACTGGAGGGCACCTTCTCCACCGCCTCCACCTTGATGAGCCGGTGCTTGGGCGAGACGTAGCGGGGTCCGTCGGGGGCGGCGGTGGAGGGCGGCGGACCGCTGTAGGGGTCCTCGAAGTCGCGTTCCTTCTGCAGCCGGTAGGCCGCCACGATGTCGGGCTGGGCGGCGGCCAGCGGCTCGGCCGCGCCCCCGGACGGCGGGGGCGGCTGCGGCGGCGGCCCGGCGCGGTAGTCGGGCTTGGGCGGCGCGGGGGGCGCGGGCCGGGTGCTGCGGAAGCCCAGGTGCTCGCGGAGCCAGCGGGCCATGGTGCCCACGCACTGCGGTGCCCCACCGGCCCCCGCCCCGCCGCCGCCGCCGCCGCCGCCGCCGCCGCCGCGCTCCGATCCGGCCGCTCCGCTCAGCAGCATCGGCGCCGGCGGACTGAGCGCAGCGGCGGGGCCGGGGGGGCCGCGGGGGAGGCGGCCAGTGCCACCTGCTGGAGCGCCGGGTGCGGGGCCTCCCCCGCCCCGCCCGCGCCGCGGCCCCGCGCCCGCTTCCCCCGGCACGGACCGGCGCGGCCCTGAGCGCGGCCCGGCCTCCCCAGCCCGCCTTCCCCGGGGCCCGCCCCGCTCCCCTCCGCCTTCCGCCGCGCCCGGGCCGGCCAGGCTCGGCCCTTCCCGCCGCTCCGGGCCGCCCCCCGCACTCTCGGATTCTCAGTGCGGCCTCGGGCGCGATCCGGCCCCGGCGCTGCCCCCTAGACACCCGGGAGAAGAGACACCGGGGAGGCAGCCGGCGAGGTACAGGCGACAGAGGGTCCCTCCTGGAATCACACAGTGTCCTGAGCTGGAAGGGACCACGAAGGTCATCGAGTCCAACTTCGCGGTGCAAACCCGCTGCCTGGGAGGTGGTGGTGGGCCCCTTACAGGACCCTTGGAACAAATCGCTCCGCAGAGTCACTGAAACAGCCACCAGGCTGGCACTGCGGGAAGGAGTGAGCAGGGACAAGGCAGGGAAGTGCTTCGGCAGAAGGCTGAACCCAGGCTGGATGTGCGGGGACGTCGGGGCGAGCATGCAGAGCTGATCCCCAGCACGTGGGCTGGAGGACATCCCCTGGGATGCAGCAGAAACGAGGCTCTTGGAGCAGTGCGTTGGAGCAGCAGAGACCCATGTGGTCACAGCGGCAAACAGCACGGTGACACACATTCTGACTGTTCCCTCTGCACAGCCGTCACCAGCCACCACCCCCTTGCTCACCTACCACCCAGGACCAACTGTGTACCCTCCTAAGCCCAAGCAGCCACTCTGTGCAGCCCTGTCCTCTGACCTACACTCCCGAATCCTTTCATCCCTTCCTAAATGCACACCCTTCACTAAAACCTGCTCCCAGCCCTGCTCACAGGCTGAATCTCTTGAAGGACATGAAGAGAGAAGGGGGCCAGAGGTAGGATATTCCAAGAGCAGTACCTCTGCAGAGGTAAAGCCTTGCAGAGGCATCCAGTGGGCAGGGATAGATGCCACGGTGTGTTCCTGCATGCCTTCACACTGTGAGCCATGCTCCAGCCCCTCTTTGGGGGCAGAGGTTGGGATCTGGCTGTCAGGGTGCTTGCAACTGGGAGGAGAGGATGGCTGAGGACAGAAGCTTCTCTTGCTGACCTCCTTCCTTCCAGCCCTGTGCAGGAAGAGAGCGGGGATGGGGCTGCCATAGAACCGAGCCTCTTGTGCCAGCCTAGCATGGTACATGCCCAACACATCCCCAGGGAACCCACCAGGTCCCAGGTTTGCTGAGTTATTGAGCACACTCCTGCCCAAGAAACCCAGCCAAATTCCCTGGGTCCAAATGGACACCAAGGGAGCTTCCTCCCTAGGGAGAAGAGAGCCATAGCACACACTGGATGTTTCAAAGCATGGGGAATACAAGACACAAAAGGCATCAGGAGGGGAAAAAACCATCTGCCAGAAACAGAGTGATCACCAAGCATTGTTTGAGGTCTAGCAGCAGACCTCAATCTGGCAGATGCAGATGATGAGATTGTTATTAAAATGCAGAAAAGACAGAGATTCTCAATAAATCTGCCTGTCCAGCATTTGGAAGGAAGCAGGATGCAGGGCTGATGGCACAGAGATTGAGAGCACTTCCATCTTCTGTCAGTAACCAAAGAGGATGTTCAGCAACATCTGTCAGAGATGGCTCTTGTTAAATCCTCAGGCCTGGAAAACACACACTCAGTGTCTTCAGAGAGAGAACTGAGGAGGGATCGAGCTTGTAGTGGTGTTTGTTTTTTTTTAAATACTACCATACCAGAGGAATTGCAGAGGTTCTTCCTTCCCATCCAGTCCTGGCACATCCTTCACATCCCTCCCTCCTTGGAGAGGCACCTTGCCAAGGCCATGCTGAGATTCAACGAGGGCCTGTGGTCTGACCTGACTAAGGACCCCAGCACCTCCTCACCATTTGCTGGGCCTGTTTCTCTTCCAAACTGGCACCTGACCCAACGTTCTCTGATCTGTGCCCCATGGAGCATCATCTTCTCACACCAGGCTTCAGCAGAGCTAGAAGAGGCATCAAGATTCCTGGACTCAGATGAGCCCTCAGATTTGAACTTCCCTTGGATACTTATTTCCCCTGGGCAAAATTACCCAGGCAGCAGGGTATCAGGTGATGGGAACTCATCTGATGTGGGAGCCCCCTTGGGAGACTCCTTTGTGTTTGGGAAGCTTTAAGGGGTCTCCAGAAGGAGACCAAATGAGCTCTTTATGCCCTGCATGGCTTGGCACAGGCACGAGCTGCTCATATTTTTTCTGCAGTCACAACGAGACCCTGGTGACATCCCTCCACTCACAGTGGTTCAGGTTTGAAGGAGCAGTGACAGATTTCTGCATACACACCACCAAAGCCAGGCTCCATCTGCAGCTCGTGCTGCAGCTGATGCTGCTCCAATCCCAACTGTTTACACACTCCATATCTACGCACACTGGGACCCAGGTCTGATGCCTGCACTGAAGAGACTGCCCTTGATACCACAAGGGTGGCCACCATGCCTCTCTGTCTGTGAGTCACCATGGCTCACTGTGACAGATGGCTGTCACAGCATCGCGGGTGTAGGGACTGGCAGGGCACAGGGGCAGGACTGGCAGACAGGAGAGGATCAGGGAGCACACATTGCACCACTCACGTGCCAGACTCCACATTTCAGCTTCTCTCGCACAAAGTTGTAGCAGGAAGCCTGCCCAGGTGGAATGTGCAGCCCTGGCAATACCCACAGCCCACGGAGCACCCAGAAAGGAGGGAAGGGCAGTGATGGAGCTGCTCACACACAGTCCTCAGGTGGGAAGAGAACAACCCCTGGCTGCAAAGAAGTGATTTGTGGCTCACTCTGATGGACCCCGGGACTAGGGGAGGCAGAAGGCCTTCTGCAGTGGTCTGCAAGGACACAGGGGTGGCCCTCTGCACTGGGAGCTCTGCTCCCACCCTCTGCTCCACCTCTGAAAGGACCAGGAGCTCTTCCCTGAAATCTCTGGGTTGGTTCTCACAGCATGGCTCTTCATCTCACTGAAGGCAGCAGTAGCTGCTTGCCTGGGTAAATCCAGGCAAGTTGGAGCATGCATCAGGAAGAAAAAGCCAGGCAATGTCTTCCAGGCTCCTGCCAGCCCAGCAGAGAGCTATGTGTGTCCTCAGCCCTTGTCTTTCCCGCTGGGCCCAGGGAGCCGCTTTGGCTGAATGCTGGGTGCTTCTGGTGCTCACCCGCAGCTGGGGACAGGAGCCCTGTTTGTCAGCTGGGCCAAGAACAGGAGATAGGACCTTCCATGGGTTTAGAAGGGCTCATGCCACATCCTCCTGGCAAACCTTCCCCTCTAGTTTAACCCCGGGTGGTGTGGGCACAGCACAGCATCCCCCAGGCAGCAGCTTCCGGTGACTCAGAGGAGAAGGTCTCTGCTCCTGCACGCTCCTGGATTACTCACCCCCAGGTAACTGCTGAATCTGACACTTGCACACGTATCACTTGAGTCAGGCACTGGGTTGGCTGCTTCCCCTGATGCCAGCATCTCCTCTGGCTTGCCAGGAAAGACTGCAGCTCCTTCAGTCTCCACATATTTCTTCCACAGTTTCAAATAAAAGCCATTCCCAGGAGCTTTTAAATGTCTGTTAGTGACTGCAGCTCCTTCCCTTCCCAGGAGCACCCCACATACCCCCCGTTGTGCAGCACAGCAGGGACCAGGAGGATGTTATATCTGCCGGGTGAGATCCCAACTTCCCTCAAGGTCTGGGTACAGCAGGAGACACAAAGACTGGAAGGTGAGAACTGTGATACCAGAAATGCCTCCTGGCAACCAGGGAGTTCCAGACTGATAAATGACACATCTGTTTTCTGCAAATGAACAAAAATTGGCACACGAAGGAGGAAACTGGCATCGTTAGGGGACAGATGGATAAATATGACATAGTGGAGAAGAGTTGACACGGCTCTCTTGCAGCAAATTTCTTTTCTCAAAAGCTAGCAGCTTTCTTGGTAAAAGCTAGCAGGCCCCTGAGGTGATCCAGCAGAGAGAGGTATCTACATTTCCACATGCAGATCCTTTGATGAGATGAGGACAGTGGCAAAATCTGCAATAATACTGAATTAATCTGGATATTGTGGACGAATGCTAAGAATTGCAGGAGGACTTTGAGAGGCTGAGCAACCTGGCAATAAAACGAGACAAAAGCCAGGGTCAGGAAACTGACACACATGGGGAAACCAAGCCCAGGCTCATGTCTAACATGTCGGGCTCTGGGACTGGGAGATCTGACAGTCTGTAAAACTGTCCCCTCAGCACTCATCAGAGGTCAAAACTGCAAAACTCCATCAAGCTGATAGGAAGGGTGAGGAAAAAGGAGAGATGACATCAGAGTTGCCACTGTTCCCTGGTCAGTCCCAGCCTGTGTGTGATCGTTGTTCCCCCTTCCCTAGGATACAGTGAACCTGGAAAATGTACAGAGAAAGATGACAGGATGATCCAGGGCCTCTGCACATGGAGCACGTGAAGGGCAGGAGATCTTTGGCATGGAAAAGAGACAGTTGGGGTCACAGGACAAAGATCTGCATGGCTGGGGAAGTTGGGGAGAGATAGGAATATCGGGGATAACACAAGGAGGAGATAACGAACAGCAGCCCTCCCTGCTGGGGCCCACTGCAGATGCTACGTGGCTTAGGGACAAGACCAGACAAATCCACAGAAAAAAATCCATAAATACGAACACATACTAAATACAAGGACTTGCACAAGGAGCCTTGTGAGTATTTAGAGGCAGGGATTGTGTCCTGGGGAACTGTTGCAACACATTTGCACCAGGAGGCCATCAAAACCTGGGCAGGATATGCCCAAAGCATGTGCTTTTACCAAATGGAGCAAATTCCTGCAGACACTTTTTGCAGCTCCTCAACCTTTC